GACGAATGTTACATTCACTCACATTGTAAGCTTCTCAGAGTAGGGACTATCTTATTATTTGTTTGTACAGCACAATGAATCCCTGTCTTGATTGGCACCGCTGGGCACAACTGTAATATAGATACTACTAATAATGGTAACCTAAATCAAAGACTCTGAACTTAGGCTTCCAGAGGTGAAAAGCTAGTACACTAACCCAGTGTGTCATTTACCCTGACTTTCCCCATGATTCAAAACTTTGAATGTTGTGCAAATCTAATGGTGTATAGAGGAAATTGCCTGTTCAGAAAAATCCCTGTTCAGAGAATTCCATTAGAGATAAGTGTTCGTTGCCACCACCACACCCCAATATTTGGAGCTGAATGTGAGAAAAGAGCATTTATATACCTGATATATAATACTATACTATAAATATATTTTAGCATTCCTTTTATTTATATACAATACTAGTACAGTTAATTAATGAATGACTAAGAAGTGGATTAAAATGCTTGTCTTGTTTATATGGTAGGGTAATGCACTCTATAGGGTTGTGATTTCTAAAGCGCACAACATGGCAGTGCGCTTTAGAAATCACAACCCTATAGAGTGCATTAATTGGTCCGTGCAGACCCTGCTGGTGCACTTTAATGTAGTGCTGTTTGAAACTAAAGGTTCTCTAGTCTAGTGCACACCAGCATGGTCTAGACCAGAGGTGGGAAAACTATGGCTTGTGGGCCACATCTGGCCTGCGGGACCCTCCTGCCCGGGCCCTGAGGTCCTGGCTGGGGAGGCTATCCCCGGCCCCTCCCCCGCAGCCTCAGCTTGCTCCTCCATCGGCGCAATGCTCTGGACGGCAGGGCTGCGAGCTTCTGGGGCAGCGCAGCTGCAGAGCCCGGCCTGACCCGGTGCTCTGTCTGCGCGGTGGCGACAGCGTGGCTGGCTCCAGCCGGGCGGTGCGGTTGTAGCACCGCCAGCCACCAGTGCTCCAGGCAGCGTGGTAAGGGGGCAGAGAGTGGGGAAGTTGGATAGAGGGCAGGGGGTGGGAGTGTGAATAGGGGTCGGGGCGGTCAGAGGGCGGGGAACAGGGGGGTTGAATGGGGGCGTGGGTCCCGGGGGGGCAGTCAGGAATGAGAGGAGGGGTTGGATGGGGCGGCGGGGGACAGTCAGGGGTGGGGGTTCCCAGGGCAGTCAGGGGACAGAGAGAAGGGGTGGTTGGATGGGGCAGCAGTCCCGGGAGGGTGCGTCAGGAATGAGAGGAGGGGTTGGATGGGGTGGCGGGGGGCAGTCAGGGGTGGGGGTTCTGGAGGCGGTCAGAGGACAGGGAGCGGGGTGTGTGTGGATGGGGCAGGGGTCCCGGGGGGCTGTCAGGGAATTGGGGGGTTGGATGGGGCAGGAGTCCCGGGCGGGACAGATGGGGAGGGCGGCCCCCACCCCCTCCCCTATCCGGCCCTCCATACAATTTCTGAAACCCGATGCGGCCCTCGGGCCAAAAAGTTTGCCCACCCCTGGTCTAGACAGACCAATTAATGCACAACATGTTAGTGCGCAGTAGAGCACTTTATTTCAGTGTGTAGACAAGCCCAAAGTCTTCCTGTTCTGATGTTAAATATTTCTAGAACAGCATATTTTAAAAGAATAATTTTGCTAGTGATAGACAGTGGTATTATGCCACCACACTGAAGACCCAAACTCAGCAGTGATGTTAGGTTTTTTAGTCCTTGAGTTACTGAAGTGAAAGGACAAGATGCTGATTACATTTAATTCTGGTGAAAATATGGAGTAACTCCATTTACTTCAATGGAGTTGGTCCAGATTTATAGTTGTGATATCAAGATCAGAATCTGGGCCATGTTGTGGAGTGGATAGGTGACTGGCTCTGTGTTTAGTGTGAGGGAGCAGAGAAAATGACATTATTATTACTATGTATTTGTATTACTGTGGCACCTTATGTCTTCTCCATACAGTAACTCCTCGCTTAACTTTGTAGTTATGTTCCTGAAAATTGCGACTTTAAGCGAAATGATGTTAAGCGAATCCAATTTCCCCATAAGAATTAATGTAAATGGGGGGGTTAGGGTCTAGGGAAATTTTTTTCACCAGACAAAAGACTATATTATTAATACACACACACACAGACACACACACACATAGTATAAGTTTTAAACAAACAATTTAATACTATACACAGCAATGATGATCGTGAAGCTTGGTTGAGGTGGTGAAGTCAGAGGGTGGAAGAGGATGCGATATTTCCCAGGGAATGCCTTGCTGCTAAATGATGAACTAGCACTCCGCTGAGCCCTCAAGGGTTAACAGATTGTTGTTAATGTAGCCTCACACTCTACAAGGCAGCACAAATGGAGGGAGGGGAGACAGCATGGCAGACAGAGACACACACTGTGTGTGTGTGCGAGAGAGAGAGAGAGAGATGTGCATTGCCCCTTTAAGTACACTGAGCCCACTCTAAGTACATTGCCTTTTAAGTAGATCAGCAAGTTGAGACAGCAGCTGCTGCCAGCAGTCTCCCTCCGTCCTGAACCCTGTCGTGTCCCCCATCCCCGCTCTATAGAGATGGGGTAAGTGGGGGGCAGGAGCAGGGGGGAGGGAAACACCCTGACATTAGCCCCGCCCTCCCCCCTGCACAGCAAGCAGGAGGCTCCCAGGAGCAGCTCCAAGGCAGAGGGCAGGAGCAGCACATGGCAGTGGGAGGAGGGACAGCTGAACTGCCGGCAATTGATAGCCTGCTGGGCGGCTGCCGCACAGGGATCTTAGGGGAGCTGATGGGGGGGCTGCAGGTCCACCCTGGTTCCAAGCCCCCACCAGCTAGCTGCAATGGGCTGCTCTTTCTGCAAGCAATGGACAAAGCAGGCAGCTGCCAAACAACGTTATGAGGGAGCATTGCGCAACTTTAAACGAGCATGTTCTCTAATTGATAAGCAACATAAAAATGAAACAACGTTAAACAGGACGACTTTAAGTGAGGAGTTACTGTACTAGATAGTTAATGGAGCACAATTTAAAGGCAGCCTCTGAGGAAGTCCTGCGTTCTACCAGAGAAAGTACCATGAAGCTAGGAAAAGATGAGCTACAGACTTTTTATTTGTATAATAAACAGTAGCATCCAGAAGCTCTAACCAGAAGTGGGCCCCATTATGGTTGGCAATCAGGAATAACCCCATTGTGCTAGGCATAACACAGACACATAGGAACATACACATTTCCTGCCCCAATCAACTTACAGTATACGGGGAAAGGCAGTAGCTCCCATGAGAAGCACGTTAGCTTGGCCCACATTCTTGACAGCTGTGAAAATCTCTACTAACAAAGTTCAATAGATTTTTTTTAAATTAAGCTTTAAAAGTTTTAATTAAATCTCCAATGTTTCCAATTTGTTAGAGAATGGAAAGATTGCTGAAATACGAAAGAAGCTAGAAGAGGAAGAGTTACAAAAAGATAAGATGCACAGGGATGTAAAGAAACACTATAGTGCTATTTCAGTCAGCTGCACTACATCTGTAATCAAGGAGTCAAGTTTTAGAACGGCAGTCAAGAAGACATACAGTACAGTTTGCTCTGCTATCTAGTGATTTTGAATCTAGAGAGTTCAGCAATGATGAATGCATCCAAATTATTGGCCATATATCTTTCTGATATTTCCTATGAAGATGACACCAAAACGTCAAAGGACAGCACTATCACTAATACCTGTTCAATAATATAAAAACTTTGAAATTAAAAAAGAAATTAACCATGCTTGATGTCTGTGGACTTGGAAAACACCAAAACTGCCATATCAATTAAAATATATAAATACTAGGAGGCCCTGTCCCACAGTAACTTTACTCAGCCAAAGCCTCTATTGATCTCAATGGTTATTTTGCCTAAGTATGGACTGAAAGACCTGGCCAATACTTTCCTTTTCATACTATTAAATGTTGAAAAACGTCATGTTCAGTCTCAATTTTATCTACTTTTTTTTTGCTATTACTCAGTGAATAACAAAGTGGTAGGATAGCCCAAGAATCCTTTTGGTACTAAAATGAGTCTTCTAATACATGTTAACATAAAAACATTATCTTCGTGTAACAATTTTGTATATCTAAATGTTCAAGTTGGATACTTTGTGGATTTTTGTAATAATTTAGCTTTGATACACTAACAAACTGTTCTGAATACCTGGGAGCTTATAGAGACAAGGTGGGTGAGGAAATAATCTTTTATTGGACCAACTTCTGTTGGTGAGAGAGACAAGCTTTCTGTGTGGTTCGAAAGCTTGTCTCTCTCATCAGCAGAAGTTGGTCTCATAAAAAATATTACCTCACCTGCTTTGTCTCTCTTATAGTCTGGGACTGACATGGCTACACTGCATTGGACCTTATACCAATTCCAGGTGAATTATGTTAAGAGGGGGTTAAAGTTTGTGTTTATGGTCTCAGGTTATAAGAAACTGATTTTTTAAGACACAATAGATTTTTTTCATTTTTTTCCCCTTAATGGAAGTGAAGCCAAACTACCGTTAAGAAAGATGACAGCACCTTATGCTGTCAAGAGGCAGAGAGAGGAGCACTGTGAAGTGCAGATGAATGGAGGTGGTGACCATGTTTGCTATGAAAGGTTGTGGCCTCCGTCCCTTTTGTAAACAATGGGAGATGGTGTCTATTTTGAGAAGGCCATCTTAACAGAAGGCGTATTCTTTTGAAGAAGACAATCCAAATACAGTAATGCGTTTTGGCTTGGTTAAGATGAACATGGAAACCATACCTTTACTTTAGACAATATTTTATCTCTGATTAATAAATACTGATGTTCATCTCAGAAGAGGTAATTGCTGCTTATTGATGCCACCATCATAACATTTATATAAAAACTTGAAATCTAAAATACTTTTTGGTGTGTATATTTGATGTATAAACCTCTCCAACAATACGAGTAAACTATAACATTTGTATTAATATAGTTTAATTTCACACTTTAAACATATATGATTTGTACATAATTTATGTCTTTATTTTGTTTACATATTTATAAAATATAGTCTCAAATAGGATACAATTAAAATCTGGGTTTGCCTTATTTGACTGAATTCTATCTTCCACAAAACTTTTATTTACTTCAAATGCCCTTTAAGCATTGAATTGCTGTTTACAAAATCCAAGAAGTGTATTCTTTATCCCACTGTTCAAAGCTAATATATCAAGTGTGTAGTCTTGTAGTTCATTACATTTAGTGATCTGAAATTTAAGTGAAACAAAGCTTCCATTAGATGTGCCAATCACAAGTATATTAGATCTAAACACAACTTTTGCTAAAACAAAACAAACTGTGGCTCCAGTCCTGCAGCAGGATTCACAAGCATGGATCCCTGCACCTATGGAAAGTCCCACTGATTTCAATAAGGCTCTGAATGAATGCAGGAATCCATGCTAGCAAATTCAATTGTAGGATCATGGTCTAAATATCAGAGCATTAGCTTTTCAGGGAAAAAACAAAGACTTGTAAAGCAATGTGAAAGGGGATATTTTGATAAAACATTGCTCATTACATTTCTTAATATTTATGAGCTATGATTTTCATAGAATAAGTTTGGTATCACCGTTACCTCCCAAAACGCAAGAGAATAGTATGAGAAAATAAATTAAACTGCGTTCTTTAGATTTCTTTAAGATGGAATACATGGGAGATAATTTGAAATACTATATTCCATTTCTCTCTCTAGTACTTATGTCAGATTTAATAGTTCTTTCTGTCTATTATTTCCAGCAAGCCAATCCTGACTGCATCTGGCAGCAGTCAATGGCACTTTACTACCAGTTACCCATCTTTAAAGTTTGAGGCCTAGTCTAAACACGTTTTTTGTTCCAGAATAACTATTTCAAATAGAGGTGTAACTTTTTACTGAAATAGTTATATTGGTAGAACCCCTACTGTGGACACAGTTATACTAGTACAAAGGTGCCTTATAACAGCTTATCTTTGGAAAGGGGATTAAGATATACTGGTATAGGGCACCTTTATCTAGTATAACTGCATCCACAGTGGAAAAGGATGTGTACCACTTTAAAACAGTACAACTTTTGTGTGTAGACAGGCCTTAGTTTCAATAATTAATAAAGGTAAATGTGGAGCATCAAGCAGCTTCTGGTTTAGTCTTATAGGTATAAATAAAAACTTAAAACTGGCTTTGCAACGCAACAGGACTGCTCACCTACAGCATCTGGGCATGGTGGGAAAAGGAGGGTAATTAGAAGAACATTTGGTGGCAGACAAGATGGGGAAGAATATTATATACTTTCAACTTGAAGATTAAAAAAAAATCTAAATCACAAATGTGAAACACATTCCTGTGTGTCAAATTTTCAAGAGCGTGCAGCTAACCTGGAGTTCCCCTACAATGTTTCGCACTACACAAGTGTGCATGCAGAAATCATATTTGCATGTATAGTTAATTGATCTGTATGCAAATATTTGGTGTCTGCTCTTGAAAATGTTTTGCTAAGAGAATCTAAAGAAAACAATCTAATTTTTTTATTTACTGTGACTTCTCAAGTTTTGACAAATGAGATCTGAGACCAAATATATTCTAAATATAAACAACATAACACAAGAACTTTAAGAAATGGACTGTATATAAACCTGTGCTAAAAGAATGTTAATGTTGGAAAGGAAAGCACTCAGACATTAGCAACTATCAGACTCCCAATTTAAATACCATGCTCCAGACTGTACTGGCTTTGATTAGCCATTATTACAGGTTTTATGTTGGCCACCAGAGGGAACCAATTTTATTTCACATATACAATAGAAACAAAAAAGTCAGTTTTATTTTTAATAAAGATATATTCCTGGTTCCCTGTATATTGTAGAAAGGGCAGAGGATGTCAAAAGAATCAGAACACAACAGGTCAATGATATCATATCATGCAGCAGGTCAATAGGTACATATTTCATTTTAAATTAATCTGAATATACAAAAGAGTAGGAACGAATTCAGAAAATTATTTCATCTATACGTTTCTTATCCTTTTGTCATTAACTAATTGTTCAGAAGGGAAAGAAACACTACCGACTTTAATTTTTAATTTATTTTAAAAATTCTTACTACACCTCTACCCCGATATAACGCTGTCCTCAGGAGCCAAAAAATCTTACCGCGTTATATCGAACTTGCTTTGATCCGCCGGAGTGCGCAGCCCTGCCCCCCCGGAGCACTGCTTTACCGCGTTATATCCGAATTTGTGTTATATCGGGTCGCGTTATATCGGGGTAGAGGTGTATTTTATAAACTATAAACATGAAATATCAAAGTAAATGTAAAGTGCTTACCTTGTAACATTTAAAGCCATTATACTTGTAGAGGGCCTGCTTTTTGATCCAGTAGGAGGATGAAAAATCCGTCCTTCTTTATTAGTTGTGATGGGCTTAGAATATTTAACCACATAGGGCTCAGCAGAATGGGAAGGATAAGGATCAAATGTTCCTGCTTTCATGCCCCCTGACTGGAAAAGAAAAGGAATGTTTCAAAGTGCTAATTTACAATATAATTGCTTTAACTATATTTTTCCATACAAAGGTAATCCAGAACACTGCATGGCAAATCACATCATATTATGTACATATCAGAAAACCACATACCACGTGTGTTTAAAGTCAACAGGAAACTGTTAAGAAAATTTAAATAATTACATTGGTGAATACTTGATTTGACAAATTCTTTTGTATGTATCCTGGATTATGAGGGAAGAATCTTAAAAATATAAAGGGTATTGTAAAAAAAATTAAAATGTAGGGTTTTATTGTGGCAAAAATGGAACCGATAAAGATCACCACTGGTTCCCATCAGTACAGCTCCACTGGTGGTACCAATAGTGGTACCATCTGGCAGGATTCAAGCATTATCAGCATGTTGCCTAACCATGCCCAGAGCACTAGACAATATGGTGGTAGATACACCATTGGCTAGTCTCTACTAGCCCTCCCACTAGAACAGCAGTGAGAAGGGTGAGGAAGGGGTGTTACCACCTGCATCCTAGTGCTCTCAGATTTGGGGGCCCTGCACAGTTCTGAGTCCTCCAGAGGAGTGCTAGGTGGAGGAGTTACCTTATTTTATTCCAACTGTTATGAACTGGGTGAAACCTTGTTACTGATGAGTTAAAACCTCATTCAGATTGATAGGTGTGAACTCAACCTTCAATTAACATAACTGTAAGCATAAACCACCACCCAAGACAAAAGGTGTGTTTGAACCTGCCCAGGAGCTTTTGGCTGAGTATTGTTTGAGTACAGGGTGTGTGTGAAGAGAGAGCACATAGAAATAAAGGACAGACAAGAACATAGAGAGAGGGAAAGGCAAGAAAGCCAATCAGGAGCCTGTAAGCACAGCATGACTCTAGAACAAGCTAGAGAGTGAGCTTTGGGTTTGGGGTTGGCTTGGGGGCTGTAAGGTAAGAAACTGTTCCTTTTGTTCTTGGTTCCTTCTGCATTCAGAGACACAGGATTTTGTTCATTCCTTGTAAATAAACAAGAGTGTATCAAGGAAAATACCAGACTCCATCAATTTTTACTTCCAACTGGAACATCCCGGGCCTCAAACTCTGATTAGCTGCTGTGGTCTAAAATGGGCAACTCTACATATAAATATGATTAACTAAATTTTAACAATTGCTCTGTGCTGATTTTAAAGATAAGCTGTTTTCAAGTTATATAGAATATGGTTATATGACAAAGTGACAAAGTGACTCACCAGCCTGTGCGCCACCTTGTGGCTGGGTGCAGCGCTGTCAGGGTTTTCCTTTCTCTAACCTTGCTGATCCCGCCATTCAGATCTGCTAGGGCCGTCCTTAGTCTGGTGAGTTAGCCCTCCAGCCAGGTCACTTTTTAGCCTCCCGCTTTCAGGGGTAAGTCAGAGTTCAGTCCAATAACAGTACAACTCTAGGCCCACTAGGCCTTACAACCCTTGTCCAGGTGCTTCACCAGATTTTCATTGGTTGTCTAGGGGAACCCAAACCCAACCTCTACCTTGGATTCCCGGCACAATTTCAGGGGCAGCATTCCTTTTTTTTTTTTTTTTTTCTTCCGCTGTTTCGCTCTCAGAGGTTTTTTTTTTTTTTGCTTGGTGCGGCAAAAAACCTAGAGCCGGCCCTGTTCAGACCTCTCCTGTACATTCTCTGGGCTTCTTCCTACTGTGGACTGCCTTTTTGCCTTCTTCTCCAGCCCTCTTAAGGCCTCAAAGGAAAGGTAACAGAAGAAAGGCACAACACAAAAATAGTCCAAATGTGACCCCGGCTTTCTTGCTTTCAGGAGATACCTGACAAGCCATAGCCTGGCTCAGTATCCTTAAAGCTCTTGTTCAATGTTCATAGGAAGCCTCTGCCAGCTTCATCTTCTGCAGTGCTCCTTCCTAGGAGCAGGTGGGGAGAGGTCTGTCCAAGGGGCATCTCCCTTTTAAGGCTCTTCCTCCGAGACTGGAATGCCTCGCTGGTGCCTGAGGCCCAGTGTATACTTAAAATTTAGGAAAAATCCACACTCCTGAATGCCACAACGATGCTGGCCTAACCCCCCAGTGTAGATGTGACTAGGCTGACAGCAAGTTACTACAGCAATGGGAGAATCCCTTTCGTTCTTGTAGTAACTTCCCCAGCTATGGCACTGTAACCCCTGTAGAGTACACAAGCCCTGAGCCAAAAGCTACTTTTAACCCCTTTTTCCCTGGTGCAGGATTTGTACACCCCATCACAGGTTATTTATAGTTTCTGGTTTTGTAGAGAATCAAACTAGATTTCATTGCTTTGTAAATTACAATCACAACTGACAAAGAAAACACATAGGAGAACTTTTGCAATAAAAGACCACGAGGTTGAATTTTAAAATTAAAATTCAAAATGAGCTGGACAAACTGGAGAAATGGTCTGAAGTAAACAGGATGAAGTTCAATAAGGACAAATGCAAAGTACTCCACTTAGGAAAGAACAATCAATTGCACACATACAAAATGGGAAATGACTGCCTAGGAAGAAGTACTGTGGAAAGGGATCTGGGGATTGTAGTTGATCACAAGCTAAATATGAGTCAACAGTGTAACACTGTTGCAAAAAAAGCAAGCATGATTCTGAGATTTATTAGCAGGAGTGTTGTAAGCAAGACACGAGAAGTAATTCTTCTACTCTCCTACGTGCTGATAAGGCCTCAACTGGAGTATTTTGTCCAGTTCTGGGTACCACATTTCAGGAAGGATGTGGACAAATTGGAGAAAGTCCAGAGAAGAGCAACAAAAATTATTAATGGTCTAGAAAACATGACCTATGAGGACAGATAGAAAAAATTGGGTTGTTTACTCTGGAGAAGAGAAGACTGAGGGAGGACATAACAGTTTTCAAGTACATAAAAGGTTGTTACAAGGAGGGAGAAAAATTGTTCTCATTAACCTCTGAAGATAGGACAAGAAGCAATGGGCTTAAATTGCAGCAAAAGAGGTTTAGGTTGGACATTAGGAAAAACTTACTGTCAGGGTAGTTAAGCACTGGAACAAATTGCCTAGAGAGGTTGTGGAATCTCCATCCTTGGAGGTTTTTAAGAACAGGTTAGACAAATACCTGTCAGGAATGTTCTAGTTATTACTTAGTCCTGCCTTGAGTGCAGGGGACTGGACTAAATGACCTATTGAGGTTTCTTCCAGTCCTACACTTCTATGATTCACTTTTATGATGGATTTTAGAGGGTTTATTTTACAGCAAGTGTCATAGAACAAAATAACACTCTCAACATATTCAGGTTCAACTGAAGTAGCATCAGGCTTTATTCTGAGAAAAGTACCTATTGAGGTTCAGAGCCAGGAAGCCATTGCATTGAGCAGATATAGACTGGTACTCACTGAGTTCTTAGATAGCCAGTGTAGGGGGCTTCTGGTGGGCAACGACCAATAGGGCATTAGTTATGCTCATTTAACTAGAAGCCCTGCACAGGTTGCATGAGTTCCTTACAGTAGGAAGAAGCAATAAGATTTTTTAATACCTACTTCTGCATCAGAGCTAAAATAGCTCATTTGTCCATTAATACTGTATATCAGTGGTCACCAACCGGTCGATCGCGATCGACCGGTCGATCCTAGAGTATCTCCTGCACCCAACACTGTGTCCCAGCCCGACTCCCCTGCCAGAGCCAGTGCCCCGTAGCCCCTCCTGCACCTCTGCCCCAGCCCTGACCCCCCCTCCCAGAGCCAGCATCCTGTACCCCCTCTTGCACCCAAACACCCTCCCAGAGCTTGCACCCCTCATCCCCTCCTGCACCCCAACCCCTTGCCCCAGGCTCAGTCCAGAGCCCCCTCCCATACTGCAAACCCCTCGGCCCCACCCCAGAGCCCGCACCCCAGCCCGAACCCCTACCCCAGCCCGGTGAAAGTGAATGAGGGTGGGGGAGAGCGAGTGATCGAGGGCGGGGGGATGGAGTGAGTAGAGCAGGGATTTGGGGAAGAGGCAGGGCCTTGGGGAAGGGGAAGGGTACATCCTGGGTTGCCCTTAAATTCAAAAAGTGATCTTGGGCGTAAAAAGGTTGGAGACCACTGCTGTATATTAATTGATTAGAAATAGACTTAACTACTTTTTAAAGTAATTTTACAGCTTGATTCTGCAGCCCTTACTCACCTTGATGAGCATTTACTCATGAGTAAGACTGTAAGAAATTTGTGGGTTTTTGGTTCAAAAGTTGTAGCCAGTTTGTTAAAGTTGTGGTTCAAAGCATGCTGTCTATTTTCCAAAACATGGCAACAGAAGAGACACTATATGTCCTGTTTGGCTCTCAAAGACAAGCATGACAGAGAGGTGACTGGGCCAAATTTGAATTGCATTACAATCCTGTGTGCCAGGTCACAATGCCACTCACTCAAATATAGCCCATCCACTCCTCTATCATGTCAGCCCAAATGTGAGTGAGTGGCTTGCTACCTGGCCCAAATTTGCAGCAATTATAAAAAGCTGCAGATTCCACAACAAAATCTTGGCTGGGATTTTCTTAGCACTGGAACAAATTGCCTAGGGAGGTGGTGGAATCTCCATCCTTGGAGGTTTTTAAGAAAAGGTTAGATAAATACCTGACAAGAATGGTCTAGTTCAGTGGTTCTCAAACTTTTTTTTTTTCGCAGACCACTTGAAAATTGCTGAGGGTCTCAGTAGACCACTTAATGATCTTTCCAAATGTTGTTTGTACCATTAGCTAACTATTGTAAAGTATTTTGGATAAAAGTGCTATATAAAAAAAACTTTATAATAATTAATATTTTTTGTTCTACAAATAAAAGCACACAACTCATATTTTAATATCAGTATCTTATCTTTCTAATGTGATGGATGTGCCCTCTCTCTCCCGCCGTGGCAGCCCCCAAGCTGAGGCTGAGAAGGAGGGGGGTCTCTCCCCAGCAGCCGCAGCCCTGGAGCTGGGCAAAGTCGCCTCTTTCTCTGGCCACCCCAGCCCTGCACATCCCAAAGTCCCCCCACCCCCTCTTCTCACCCCACTGCCCCCTCCCACCTACCCCCTATTCCCCTCAAGGCTACCACCTCACCTTACATGTGCATCTTTTCCAGGGTCCAGGCACCTAATTAGTGGAGCTACGCCTGCGTGGTTCCACTAATTAAGAGGGCGGCCCTTCATTCTCTCGTGTGTGGCCTCCCAGGCGTGCACCTTAGAGGGAACTATCGTGGACCATCTGAATGGAGCTCACGGACCACAGTTTGAGAACCTAGCCCTGTCTTGAGTGAAGGGGACTAGATTAGACGACCTATTGAGGTCCCTTCCAATCCTACTCTTCTACGATTTTTGTCTTCTATACAATATGATTTAAACTTTCTACAAGAACACCACCAAATATTTGGATTTTCACTTTTTGCTACAGTAGTTAGAGAGCAGACTCACCTTTTTAGCAGGAGAACTTGGTTTAAAGGGGTGTGCAACTGGCTTTTCTGGGGTTGGTTTCTTAGCTGGTGCCAAAGGTTTATCATCATAATATGGATTTATGTCAAAATACTCCCGAGGATAGAGATTTAACTTGAAAGGCCCTCCTTTAACCAAACGCAGATGGTCTTCATGCACCTTCTGTAAAATAAGTAGTTTTAAAGGTATCACCTTGGGCATTTTTACCTCAGATTATTCTGATTAGAAAAAAATAAAAAGAGATTTAAATTCAGTCTTGAAAAAAACTTACTTTTAGCAATGTATTTAATGTAATTTCCTCTGTTAATGTTAATTCTGGCTTCCACATATACGTTAGGCACAACATAATGCATAACGAAACAATCCACTGAGCTCAACAAATGCTAGGAAACTATGACACACTTAAAGAAGAATTTAAGGACTTCTTAAAATAAGTAAATTTAAAAACTCTTTAAGATCTCAAATTAATTAACGGACACATGGTACATGTATGGACTTTAACATTACAAATACAGTACAACCTTGCTAATTCATGCTAATGATGGGGAGCAAATTTTCACTGCTTAATGAATAAGAAACAAATGTTGCCCTCCTCCGGAGGACAGAGGTACCTGTGGCAACCAAAACAATGTGGTTCTACTGCATGAGGAGAAGGCAGGATTTGGGGAGTTATACAATTGGTGGCACACCTTTTTTTTATTTAAATTTAGAGCTTGCAAAATGTGCCAGATTGACAACCCAGGAGAATTAGGTCCTTTATTTATCCTCCAGCTTCACCACAATGACCGTCTATGGGTTGACTTGTAGAGACCAACCACTTCTAAAGCCAAGAGGATACTTCATTCTCTAAGTCCATTCAGTGTCTGATACTTCTCTTTTGTGTTTTATTTGAAGAGCTGAGCAGAGAACTTGTGTGGAGTCCACCATCGTGTGGTGACTGTGTGAAACTTAGGTCTTGTCTTCACTACTATGCTGTATCGGTGCAGCTGCATCTGGTGAAGATGTGCTTCATCAACAGGAGAGCGCTCCCCCATCGATGTAATTATTCCACCTCAACGAGAGGTGGAAGCTATGTCGGCGGGAGAGTGTCTCCCATCAACATAGCCCGGTATAGACACTACTTTAAGTCGATGTAACTTATGTCACTGAGGAGGGGAGGGATAGCTCAGAGGTTTAAGCATTGGCCTGCTAAACCCAGAGTTGTGAGTTCAATCCTTGAGGGGGCCACTTAGGGATCTGGGGCAAAATCAGTACTTGGTCCTACTAGTGAAGGCAGGGGGCTGGACTCAATGACCTTTCAGGGTCCCTTCCAGTTCTATGAGATAGGTATATCTCCATTTATTTATCAACTTAAGCAGTAGTGTAGACAAGCCCTTAGTCATTCTGGATCATTCCTCCACTATTTGTGGTCACACTTGTATTATGTTACATGGTTCTAATCAGAGATGAGCCCCACACAAACCCTAAATCTAAACACCCTCAGACTTCACAAAGTTCAGTTCTGGATCTGAACTTTGCAATTTGGGCCCAAACTACCAAAAAAATTTGCAACTTGGGTCATTCAAACTAATAAAAAATTAACCTTTCTAACCCAAATGTGAACTAGTAGCAAACAAAACCCCAATCCTGATGCTGAAACTTATAATATATGTATAGTAAAAGCTGTTTTATCTGGCACTTCACCAACCGGAAAGCTCTATAAACTGGCATTTCTGATCTTTACTGAAATTCTGGTTTATAGTTTGGTTGGCACAGGGCCGGCAGTGAGTTGGGGCGCGGGAGGGGGTGTGAAGCGCGGGCTCTGGGAGGGAGTTTGGGTGCGGAAAGGATTTGGGGGTGCAGGGTGCCAGATCTGGGGGCTGCTCACCTTGGGTGGCTCCACGCAAGCGGCGACCTGTCCTGGCTACTCCTAGGCGGAGGCGGAGCAGGCAGCTCTGCATGCTGCCCCCATCCTGCCCCGAGAACTAGCTCTGCAGCTCCCATTGGCTGTGAACTGTGGCCAATGGGAGCTGTGGGGGTGGTGTCTGCAGGTGGAGGCAGCGCACAGAGCTGCCTGCCGCACCTTTGCCTCGGAGTGGCTAGGACAGGGGGCTGCCTGAGGTGAGCACCCCCTGGATCTGGCACCCGAAACCCCTCCCGTGCCCCAACCTGCTGCCCTGAGCCCCCTCTCATACCCAAACTCCCTCCCTCTTAGTTAACTGGCATTTTTCACTTACCCAATTCCCCCAATATGCCGGATAAAACAGCTTTTACTGTATTTTCCCCCTCAAAATCTCAATTTAACTCCAAACAGATATTAGTTTGTGGTAAAAATATAAAGCTCAAAATACTTATTCCTATGGCAAAAAAGCCCTCTTTCAGCTATCATTATTCCCCATATATGATGAAAATATACAATATTAGTGAGATTGATACATATAAATATAAATATAGCAGCCTTCTCATATTTACTAAGTTATATAGTGAAATACAGATTATATGCTCTATGTTTGTACTGCCCCTAATAAAATAAGAGTCCCAGTCCATGACTGGGGTTCCTAGGACTTACCACAATACAAATAAAAATAAACAAACAAATAAATAATAATTAATTTGGGTCTCTCTCTCTCTCTTAATTCAATACTTTGGGTCAAACCCTTAGCCCACTGCTCAGCCTAAGCAATAGGACTCTGTGCTGGGGTGACTAAGAGGGAAAGGAATAATATATTTAACAAAAAAGGGCAATTTATCTGCAGTCCAGTTGGTAAATAAATAAATACTGGTTGCTTTAGGCTAAAAGAAAAACTACAGGAAAGGTAAACTGTTTGCAAATAGTGATTAAATAAAGTTACTGAATAATTTTACCTTTGCATTCATTTTTCCAATTTCATACACATCACTTGAGTGTGGATACTGTTTACCTATGGTAAGATTTGGATATCTGTGTAAAGAAAATTAGTAATGGTGACCTCAAAGTTCAGCATTTGATGAAATACTATTCAGGAAATTATACTGAATGTTTTACCCATATCCAGTTCCTTTCTTTCCAGGATTTGTGTAAAGGTTCTTTCCAGGAGGAGCATATGCTGTTTTCCCTCTTAGTTGTGCACTGAAGAATGGATATGGACCACCTATAGTTCCATAATAAGTACCCATTCCGCATCTGAAATATAAAATAAACACATAATACAATAGTTATTGTTAATAACAATAAATTAATAATTAGTATCCATTCAGTGCTATACAGTTTCAAAATTCTGAATGATATTAATTGAAAAACAAGCAACTAACATTTTTGGACTACACATATAAAACTTGAGGTTCTGTTCATTCCACATGTACAACAATGATTCTATGCACAGTGTGGTAGAGGCACACGATGCGAGTAGTGGGGACAGAGTTAAAGTTTTGGGGCACCTTAGTTGTGCATGTCCACACTCGTCAATGTTTGGCTTTTGGTTTGTTTGCTTTAAATCTTCTCTTAACATGTTCCTGCTTTTCACCGTTGTTGTTGTTGTTTTTATGTCAACCTTATATTAAGGGTATTTTTAGGTATTTACAACCTTAACTATATTTTACCAACATTTTTGTATTGAATTTCCTACTGTATGTTTTACCAACATTTTTTAAGAATGAAGAGGTACTCTCAGGACCAGGTAGCCAGGGTCTTCAGAGGAATTTCCTGATGTGGGGCTTAGGATCTCTGCAAGGGATTAGCTTCAACTATTCATGTCCCAAATATGCATTTTATCAAAGAGCATGCAGGCTCTGACACATATTTTGTAACAGCCCACAAATCTTAATATATAAAAACTTCCATCAGTGCCCCCCAAACTAGTGAAAGGCACTGCTCATCATCAGAGGCAATGGCAAACAAATTTGGGATTTTGCTATTAAAGAAAACAAAAGTTGGAAGAACTTTAAAAAAGTGATAAATAGCTCATTTTCGTAACTACAATTATAAGACCCATTTTCAGATGTTTATATCTTTGCCAAACTTTAAACGTTCAGAATGACATTTTCCATGTCGAGTATCTGTTTGAAGCTGATTTTTTCCTGTACTATTTCAGCCAAAATGGTTGAGTCATTTTGGAGAATGAGGCTAAAGAAAGATAAATTGTTTTGATAAATAGCCCATTTTCCTAACTACAATTTCTTTAAAAATACTTCAAAACAAATTAATTTTAAATTCGGGGTGGGAAGTTGTTTTGCCCACAGTAAAAAAGTCTGGCTACCTTTTCTTTGAAATGCTCTGGTGCCCCCAAGCTTTACAGCAGTGGTTCTCAACCAGGGATACGCGTACCCCTGGAAGTAGGGGTACGTCAACTCATCTAGATATTAGCCTAGTTTTACAACAGCCTACATGAAAAGAAGTCAGTACAAACTAAAATTTAATACAGACAATTACTTGCTTATACTATATCACTGTTTCTCAAAATGGGAGTCGTGATTTATTTTATAATTATATGGTAAAAATGAGAAAGTAAGCAATTTTTCAGTAATAATGTGTTGTGACACTTTTGTATTTGTATAAAAACAACAAAGAGTCCGGTGGCACCTTAAAGACTAACAGATTTATTAAGCTTTCGTGGGTAAAAAAACCACTTCTTCAGATGCATGGAGTGAAAATTACAGATGCAGGCATTATATAATGATACAGGAAGAGAAGGGAGTTACCTCACAAGTGTTGACAGGGCCAATTCGATCAGAGTGGATGTAGTCCACTCCCAATAATAGATGAGGAGGTGTCAATACCAAAAGAGGGAAAATTGCTTTTGTAGTGAGCCAGCCACTCCCAGTCCCTATTCAAGCCCAAATTAATGGTGTTAAATTTGCAAATGAATTTTAGTTTTGCTGTTTCTCTTTGAAGTCTGTTTCTGAAGTTTTTTTGTTCAAGTATAGCTACTTTTAAATCTGTTATTGAATGTCCAGGGAGATTGAAGTGTTCTCCTACTGGCTTTTGTATGTTACCATTCCTGATGTCTGATTTGTGTCCATTTATTCTTTTATGTAGGGACTGTCCAGTTTGGCCAATATACATGGCAGAGGGGCATTTTGTAAGTAGTTTATAAGTGAGGTGAAACTTGGGTATGCAAGACAAATCAGTTTCCTGAAAGGTTGAGAACCACTGCTTTAGAGCAGGGACTTGAAACCTGGCAAAGGATGGCTTTTGTGTCAGGAATGGTTGTCCCCATAAAAAAAGAGTTGAATTTGGTCAATTATAAACCTTTAAAAAAACTACAGTTTGCAAATGCTCGGTAGAGACTAGCTAAAGATAAACAGGTAAAATCTCCAAAGATTCCATCCTCCCTGGGCATACCCAGCCTTTTACAGCTCCTAGTGCTGACCGGACTGCACATGCACCATCCTCACAGAGCAATTGAGCATGCTCCAGCCCAGAACTACAGGAATTCAGAAAGACTTCCCCTATAACAGCTGCTCCCAGTTGCTCGAGGCTGGGGTGGGGCTGGGCACTGCAACTGAGAGCAGTAGGCAGTCTCTCCTCAGCTCTCGATCACCCCCCCTGCTGGCACCCAGACAGCATGGTGGGGGAACATATCTGATTCTAATGCACAGAGGAGAAAATCCAGGCCAGGAGGGATGGGAAGAACTAGATTAGAGCAAGATTGGTGAGACTGGCGGTGGGGGGAGAAACAGTGACAGGGAGTTTGAGGGAGAGACTGAGACTGGTTGTGCAAGGAGAATGGGACTGGAAACTGGGGGCACAGGAAATGTTTGGGCAAGGAGACTGGGAGCTAGTGGGGAAGTAGAGGCTGGGACTGGAAGCTAGTAAGGGAAATGGAGGAAGAAAACAAAGCCAGTTGGCTGGGGAGTGGGGAACACTGAAATGAGATGAGGAATTGGGGGGAGGGAGGAACTGGGACTGGCTGGGTAGAGAGGATAAAACAAGCAGACAGGGAGGGAATGTAGGGGGAGACTGAGATTGGATGAGGAGCCCAGGGAAGGAGACTGGGACAGGGAGCTAGTGGGAGGGGAAGAGGAGAGATCAAATCAGATGAGGAGCGGGGCGTGGTGGGGACTGGGTCTGACTAGGCAAGGAAACTGGGGACCAGAGCCATCCCTAGGGTATGGCAAATCGGGGTGACCACCCTGGGCCCCACACTTTGGAGGGCCCCGCGCTTCCTGAGGAGGTGGGCGGGGAGGTGAGGCAGGAGTCGGCGGGCGGGGGGCAAGGCGGAGCCCCCCTACCAACCTCCCCCTGCCCCCAGTGACTCCTGCCCGCCGACAGCCCTGCCGATCAGTGCCTCCCCCTCCCTCCCAGCACCTACTGCTGATCAGCTGTTTTGTGGCATCTGGACTTGGTGCTGGGGGTGGAGGGGAGAGGAGCGAGGGCGCAGCATGCTCAGGGGAGGGGGCGGAACTGGGTGGGGAAGAGGTGGGGCGGGATGGAGCCTTGGGGGAAGGGGTGGAGTGGGGGTGGGGCCTGGGCGGAGCACCCCCCAGCAGATAGAAACTGGGTGCCTATGTCCTGGGCCCCGCACCCCCCTAGAGATGGCCCTGCTGGGGACAAGTTGTTGGGGCGGGAGTGGTGGAACTAGGACTGGCTGGGCAAGCAGTTTGGAATAGGTGTGGGGAGGGGGAGAGATTGGAAGTCTGGAGGAAGACCGGGACTTGGAGAGTGAACTGAGAGAAGAGCAGAACTGTCTGGGCAGGGAGACTGGGACTGGGATGAGAAACCTCAAGAGTGGAGACTGGGGCTGGAAAGGTAAGGAGCATGGGACTGAGACAAGGAGGCAGGGATGAGGAAGAGACTGGACTGGGACTAGGACAGATTCAATGGGATGGAGAGGAAGAGATCAAGCTTGAGAGAAACAGGCAGAGAATCATCTGTGCCTATTGGAGCACACTCCCTTCCAGAACCTGGAATGAAACCCAAGATTCCTCTGCTGTCAGCAAATATCCACGAAACCCACTGACAAAATGTTTGTCTTATCTCCCGCTAGCTCAAGTGGCAGAGATCTGTGTGGTGGAACTAAAGGTTCCATGCCTGCTGAGGAACCACATGGGTCAATGTGATGCCACATGATGGAATTCTATTTTTGCGGTTTGCTTTTTTAAAATCCTGGGAAATTGCTCACAAAAATGCTATGCTAAAAGAACATTATTAAGGTTGCAAAGTCAAGCACTCAAAAGTTAGGAAATGCCAGAATTAAGGTTTCCTGTGCATCTTTAATTCATCTTCCTTGTGCAGTCTTTAATTATATGATTGCGTACTATCTTTAACATAGGATCCCTGCCTGATTGAATACAGAGATGGATCTGCTTTGTGGATGAACCTGAGCTGTGTAGTAAGGGATGCTATTGTCTGTAGGACCCCCTGTCTCATTTGTTGCAGAAGTTGTGTAGTGAGTGAGGCAAGGAATAGCAAGCAAGAAATGAAGGGTCTTGTGGTTAAGACAGCTGAATGCTGCCCAGAAGAACTGGATTCTAACCCCTGTCTCTGCCACAGCGTTCCTGAGTGATGCTAAGCAAGTCACTTAAACCAAACTTTTCAGAGACGATCACTAATTATGTGTTTCTCATTTTCTGGGTTTAAGTGAGCAACGTCCATCTTGTGCACTAAATGAGGCAGGGGTCACATGAAAAAATAATGTGACTATGTAAACACTGTACCCTAATGCCTATGCACAAGAGGGCCAAATTAAGGTAGCACAGGCAATCTTCCATTGACTTCAGTGGACTTGAGCTTGGGGCTAGGTGTGCACGGCAATTAATTCCTACTGGGTTGGGGTGGTTTGACTGGTTTCTATAGAAAATATAGCAGAGGTAACAGAAGTGTCTGAGAGTGAGTGGGTCTCCCTTAACTATAGTGGGATAGCACTCACCTACCCATCAAAGATAGCACAGGCATATACACACCAGCTCCTACATCCCCATTAGGGCTGCTCCACTGTCAGTGAATGATTCTGTACAGGCTCCTAGAACCACCTGATTTCCAACCTCGCCAGTGGAGGGGGTATGGTGTGAGCTGATCTACTTTGCACTGGGGACAGGATGGACTCAGAACTCAGTGGAGGAATGGGACATAAAGATGGCTTAAAACCACCTTTGTGCACACATAGCAGAGCACAGCTTGGACACAGGCCAGGATCTGGGCCTTCTACTTCATTGTGAGGCAGTCCATGGTATATAAAAGGGGCCACTTCCTGGATATTTATGACAAATGACCAGACAAAATGTATGGTGAACAGATTTTCAAGCATACTGAAATGTGCAGGAAAAGAAAGTAAGGGACACTGCTCCCACTAGACCCCATAGCCATTAGCAGAGTCTCAGCCCATATGATTCTTGGTTGAAGAAGCCCCCTTTGCTCTCTAAACCTTCTGACTTCTGGGGGATACTTTTTAGCAATCTTCCATTTGAAAAATGAGGAAATCCTACTACAGACAAGTGAAATTAAAGCCCTACTTATATGGCTAAATTCTGTCTGCCTATGTGCATACATATGCATCAACAAAATAGCATATACACGCATGGTATTTCTAGAGCATGTGGCAGAAAATGGCCAATCCTGGCTCCTCAAAAAAATGAACAAGAGGTTACCCTCCAAGCTCTTCACAGCCCAAGCCACAGAGAGATGACTGGACATAGCCATAGACATAGCCTGTGTAGTGAGTACTGCACAAGGCTCCAGATCACTGGCAAAGCAGCAGTGTATATATGTAGCTAGGCTTTGTATTTTTATATATAGTTAGTAAACATGGTTATTTAGAATCCAACTGTGTCCATGTGCTCTCCTCATATTATTAATGTTGTATAGAGTGCAAAGACACAATAGTTTGTCTATATTCCGTATGCATTCCTTGACTTTTGAATATCCCCTGCAAACAGCTCACCCTCAAAGATTATCCCTACCCCTAGTAAGAAGAGAGTGGTGTAAGCTCTGTGTGAGGTGCAAAGTCACCTATATAATATGGATAAGGCTACCATTTTTTCACGGAGGTCGTGGAAGTCAGCCCTATCGGCTAGGAGCTGCAGAGTGGCGCCCCCTTCTCCCTCCGGAGCTCCCGGGGCCACAGCTCCTGGCCGCCTTGGGCAGTGGGGTCCCCCCACAGCTCTCCACCACTGTGGGCAGTGCCCCCCTCCAGCTCATGACCAACATAGGCACCAGGGTCACCCCTCCCCCATGCTCCAAGCTGCCGCAGGCAGTGGGGCCACAGCTCCAAGCCACCCAGGAGCTCTGAGCCACCGAGGGCAGCAGGGGCCCCAAGAGTTCGGAGCAGCCGCTGCAGCTGCCCAACCGCTGCAGGTGGTGTGGAGACCCTGTAGCTGAGCTCCCCATTTTGTCAGGGATATTTTTAATAAAAGTTACAGACAGGTCACAGGCTTCTGTGAATTTTTCTTTATTGCCCATGACCTGTCCGTGACTTTTACTAAAAATATCTGTGACAAAAATCTTAGCCTTTATTATAGACACATATACATTACAGTGTATACCGAATAAGTGTACATTTGGGGACACAGAAGCAGAGTGGGGACATTATGCCTATTTGTGAATACCTGCCAGAGTCTGGCCCATAGTTTTTAATATCCCTTTAAGACAATCCTTGTGTTTTAATAAATGGATTAGACATCTTACATTTCTTTAAATATAACAGACTTTTTCCTGCCTGTCTGTATTTTTAATTAAAAAGCCCCAAAACCAAGAAAACCTCTCAGTCCAATAACAGTTACATGAACTCTTGCTTTAACTGTAATTATGTGATGCTACATGGGATCTTTGTTCAGACAGATAAATATTTTCATCAAAAGGTCAAACACACTGCAGGCTATTTATGTCTCCGTATCCTCTGACCAACTCAGTCACAGAGGTGTCATCCCATGATGTTTTCAATGGGTGGTACTTTTATTCTGGTAGAGCCCATTTTTCTCCAGCACTGTGGACTGATCAGGTATTATAAAAAATCCAAGGTAATGGAACTCTGGCAATAGAAATAGAGAAATTCAGGATAGCGGATTCTGTTAGTCCCATTTCCCATGATGCAGAACTCTTAGCTTCACACAATATTCTGCTTGAGATCTTTAACGTCTCTCTCTCTCTCTAAGTTTATGTTGGTTATCAGGTGTATGGACAATGGCAGTACTGTGTTTTAACATTGCTTCTTTATCATATGTTGTACATATCGTCTCATAAAAACAAGACCGTACTCTTGTTAACAGTTAACTTTTATAAAAAAGTTGTGACAAATTATTTTTAATGCAGCACACACACAAAAAGGAAGCCTTTCCAAATACTTACGGCAGTTTGACTCCATTGCTTGGAAGGAAAGCTTTGCCCATATTTTTCTTTGACTCTGCCAATCTATATCGCCTCCTTAGTTGCACAGGGTTTGAGTAGGCTTCACCTTCGAAAACCCTCACAAACTGAGGCTCAAAGTAACCTGCCTGAAGAGCTGACAGCATTTTGGTACCCCCAGGTAACATTTGTTTGTTCTTGCTTGCAGCTTCATTGAAAGGGCCTTTAAAACAAGTAAGCATTGTAAATATTCACTTAACTCTACAGATTCTCTTAATTTAAATGTAGAAATTAAAAATGAAGACTGGGTATGGATGATTCAAAGGGACAGGTAATGCAATACAGAACCTTTCACCTGTAAGTCACATGTGGTAGTGACTGATTGCTGATACTATATGGCAACTGTTCAGTAACTTAATATATGGAAAAAGAATTGTTTGACTCAGTCAAGTTTCTAGTGGCATGCATCCATAACACAAAAATACCATTGCAATTAGTACCTTTTGGAGGGAGGCCATAACTATTCTGCACTAACATCTAGCATTATCTAGCAGAGGAAGGTATAACACGATCCAATGGCTGGAAGTTGAAACTAGACAAATTCAGACTGGAAATAAGGCATGATATTTTAAGTGAGAATAATTAGTCACTGGAACAATTTACCAAGGGTCATGATGGATTCTCCATCACTGACCATTTTTAATTCAAAATCGGATGCTTTGCTAAAAGATCTGCTCTAGGAATTATTTTTGGGGAAGTTCTATGGCCTGTGTTATACAGGAGGTCAGACAAGATAATCACATTGTCCCTTCTGGTCTTGGAATCTATGAACATCACTTCACAAAGACTGACTCTTACTGAGGGTCAAACTCTGTCATCCTTACTCATCAAGAGTAATGCCATGAGTAGTTCCAATGAACAAGAGTGAGGATGAAAGAATCCAGCCCTAAGTAATAAATAAATAAATCTCCTATGCACATTGGTCAACTACGAGCAAAGAAATAAAAGATTACCACAAAATGTAAAGTACTGAAAACATAATCTTACAACAGAAGTGCCAGTTGGAGCAGCCACACAGAAAAAACTACCTGCTCTCAGCATCGGCATGTCAGGGGAAGATAAGGCTTTCCATAATGCCAGTTCAGTTTTAACATTACAAATGTTAACAAAGATAACCAAGGAGCAAAACTGTGGAGCAATTTGCTGTTGGATTAAGTCATCATATTAATGCTGTTCTGCAGTTGAGTCTCTTAGCAGAATATTCAAAATAATGAAGATAATTTGTATATTTACTGACAAAGAAAATTGGTGTCCCATTTTTTGTTTTCTTTCAGCACAATTGGGAAACAGTTTCAAAGGACCTAATTTCTTAAAATGTTCATTTCAAAGTAATTAAATGCTATACATATCCTATAAAGTAATCTACTTTACCTGGTTTGTCTCAGGGGTTTCAAAAATTTTAAATGGTCGCCTGTTAACCTAATTTTACATAATTTATCTACCCTTCTCAAAACTCACAGCTATTAATTTAAAATTTGAATCATAAGGACATTATAAATTTAAAAAAATGCTGCACTCATTTGGGACGTGCAAAGGGCTACACAATCTGTGAGTTGACATTTCCAAGGGAAAGAATGCCAATGTGAAAAGCCAAAAAAATATGTACTATCGCAAAAGTCTAAAAGTAAATCCACTTGCAATGTCTCTGCATGGAGCAACTGGAACCCTACCACCACTTATATCCCATGGTGTGATGAGAAGAAGCCCCTGGAAATCTCCACAATTATGGCAGGGAAGGGGGATGAGTCACTGGAGGTGACACCTACTCCCCACTGGAGGTGACACCTACTCCCCACCAGCTGGTAGGTAAAGACACACCAGTCATTTCAATAGTATATTTTATCTGTAACTTGGACAACAAAATGCAGCATATATATTTTTATTAATCTTAATACATAAAACTCAGCTAAACTGAAAAATATTTATGTTTTTATGCCCTTTTTGCATTTATTGTGATATATTAAGCAGACCTCTACTAAAAATGGATTATGCCACACTGAGCAAAGACAGAGAGCTTTTTGGTTACTAAAAAACCCAGATGCCTCTAAAAGGACTAATAGAAAACAGTGAGTCAGTAGAAAGACAGATTAGACAGCTATTGGAAATATCCTTATTGCTAAAATGAAATGTACTTACGCATATAGTGTGAGACATATTTATCTCCAATGGTAACATACTCCATTTCACTGAAGAGGCCAACCCTCTCCATGTCAGTTTTTCCTTCTCCAGGCATGGTTGGTTGTGTGTGACAGTTCACTACACTAGAAAATATAGATGTTTCTTATGCTCACTTCTTTTACTGCAAAAACGTACAAATAGAGTTACAGTCAAAGTCTGCAACAAGTTTAAGCATTTAAAATAAAATGTACCATTATGGTGCCGAGATTCTTTGGTTCAAAAGTACTAGCACTCAGTTCCTTTACATTTCTATTGTACTCAGAATGTAACATTAGCTATAAAGTACAGTAACTCCTCCCTTAACGTTGTAGTTATGTTCCTGAAAAATGATACTTTAAGCGAAACAATGTTAAGCGAATCCAATTTCCCCATCAGAATTAATGTAAATAGCAGAGGTTAGGTTCCAGGGAATTTTTTTGCCAGACAAAAGACATATATATATATATAGATAGATAGATAGATAGATATATACACACACACACACACAGAGAGAGAGTATATACACACAAACATATACACAGTATAAGTTTTAAACAATTTAATACTGTACAGAGCAATGATGATTTTGTACCTTGGTTGAGGTGGTGAAATCAGAGGGTGGAAGAGGATGGGATATTTCCAAGGGAATGCCTTATTGCTAAATGATGAATTAGCACTCGGCTGAGCCCTCAAGGGCTAACACATTGTTGTTAATGTAGCCTCACACTCTACAAGGCAGTAAGAATGGAAGGAGGGGAGACAGCATGCAGAGAGACAGAGATACACACAGTGAGAGTGAGAGAGAGAGAGAGAGAGAGAGACACAGACTGCATTGCTCCTTTAACGCTGACCCCACTTCAAGTACACTGCCTTTTTAAGTTGATCAGCAAGCTGTCATGTCCCCCGCTGCTCTGTGGAGATGGCCGGATGGGGTAAAGGAGCAGGAGGGAGGGGGACACCCTGACATTAGCACCCCTCTTCTCTCCCCACCCCCTTACACAGCAAGCAAGAAGCTCCCGGGCAGAGGGCAGGAGCAGCACATGGCAGTGGGGGAAGGGACAGCTGAACTGCCCAGCAATTGATAGCCTGCTGGGCGGCTGCCAAGCAGGGAACTTAGGCGGGGGGGGGGGGGGGGGGGAGGGGGGGGAGGGGATGGGGGGGCTGCTGGTTCACCATGGTTCCAAGCCCCCACCAGCTAGCTCCAACAGACTGCTCTTTCTGCAAGCAGTGGACAAAGCACGCAGCTGCCAAACAATGTTATAAGGGAGCATTGTGCAACTTTAAACTAGCATGTTCCCTAATTGATCAGCAACGTAACAATGAAATAATGTTAACCAGGATGACTTTAAGTGAGGAGCTACTGTAGGTCATAACTGGAGTGGTGATTGTGAGAAGAGGACTGAACTAGAGTGCGTGGGAAAGAGCCAGCAGGGTTAGCTCTGTGGTTTGAGCATTGGCCTGCTAAACCCAGCATTGTGTGTTCAATCCTTGAGGGGGCAATTTGGGGATTGGCCCGGCTTTAAGCAGGGGGTTGGACTAGATGACCTCCTGAGGTCTCTTCCAACCCTGATATTCTATGATCACATGACTTCCAACCCTGATATTCTATGATCACTTTGAAAAACAAATTTAAAACCAATATGAGACAGATATGGCCCACATTCATCTGTGATGTAACTGGGTTCAACTCTTATTAAAATCTCTGGATCCAAATTTGCTAATAAGTACCCTTAAAATATTGAGATCAGGGATCTGAGTAGTGCAGATCATTGGTCAGGATATGCAGGATAGCATCTCCTTTTGCTTTCTGGATTACCTTCAGCTGTACTTTGTAGTCATCCTTGGTTAACAATGGGCAGGGGTAGTACAAAGAGACGTGAAGAAGTTTTGGGATCCTTATTGTGGTAACCTAAATCCTGATCCTGAGAAGTGCTGACCACCTACTATTCCCCCTGACTTCAAAAATGTAAATGATTGAGGTCAATGGCAGCTATGGGTGCTCAGCTCTTTTGAGGATCAGTCCCCTAATCAGCATACAAAGAGACCACTGAGCACTGCATTACGAATATATGGTGTATAACTTTTCAAGGGGGATAATATATTTTACCTGCCTCTCAGGGATGCTGAGCAATTTAATGTATTAATATTGGTAAAGCTCTTTGGATAGAAGATGTTGCAGAAGTGCAATGTACTGTTAAGAAAGTAAAAACTGATTTTAAGTGATAATGTAACCATCAGTTACATATAAACACACACATAATTGCATCAGTTTACATACATGTAAACATATTTTTGTAACTATAATTACATCAGCATATGAATAATCGATGCATAAATATCATTACCGCATAAATTATTGCAGATATTTGCATGATTAAACAATTTGCATGAAATCTTCCTTGACAGTAACGACTGACTGTTAATTGCAGTGGTTGAGGTGAGCCGCACAGAGAGGGAATAATCAGCAGCACACGCTTTAAGGAGGACGTCTGGACGGATTTCTCACTCACCTCACACCAACCCCGACGGGTATGTTGCAGAGGGTCAGCAGCAGCAGCAGCCCCCTCCTCTCTGCATCCCCAGGCGGCGGCAGCAGCTTCTGAGAGGGACGGGACTCTACCCAGGCTCTTTGTTGATGCAGTTGCTCTGGATTCCGGAAAGTCCAACAACACATGAACAGCATTTCAGTATTGTCCACCCCATCTGTGGAGCCCTGTTGGTGTAGTCCAGAGGCTGCGCGCGCTGCGCACCCGCGCTGCATCTTGGGAATTGTAGTCCCGTCCTGTCAACGCCTTCGTTCACATGATCTGGCCTGGCGTTCTCGGCCTGCCGCCTTTCTCTTGCTTGGAGTGACACGTCAGACCTTGCGGCGCGTGCAAGGGAACCGGCCTGTTCCAACCCCCCATCGGGGTGGGGGAGAGGTGTGTGCTGACTATGAGTACGGTGCTGACAGACGTGGTGAGTCCGCGCCGCTGGGGTGGGTAAAACAGCGGGCCAGGGCGCTTCTGCTGTGCGGGGAGGGGGCAGCCGGCCCGGTGCATGCTGGGAGCTTCTCCCCCACGTGGTGCACGCCGTCGAATTCTTGTCACCCCGTTCTCGAGGGGCTGCAGCTCGGAGTGACCCTGGTGACACTGCAACGCCGGCCTGTAGCTAGGTCCGCGCTGGCTCCCACCCCCGCATCTCGTCCCGCATCTCCGCTCCCGCCCTGGTTCAGCGCCAGGCTCCTGCCCGCCCTTGTGTCCCTGCCTGGTGCATCTTCCGTGTTTTGCCTGCGGGTGAGCCTGGGCCCGGGTAAATCCCTGGTGCCCCTCCCAGCCGCCAGTTATGAGCCTCCTTGTTATGTTGTAACCATCTAATTAATGCATCAGTCCCCCCCACGCAGCCCCTTTGAATTCAGAAACCTATGTGATGCTTTACAGGAACAAGACCTTATGCTGTAAGCTCAAGACAGAGATTTTGTCATATGACATGTTTGAAAGTGCTTTGCACACCTGGTAGCATATAAATGTGAGTGTGTGTTGCTGACTGCACTGTTGAAATAAATTGTGCTACTTAAAGGTCAAATTTTGGTGTGGGTTTTTTTTTTAAATGACCACCAATATAATGAACATGTAGTTTAGATGTAACTTTATCAAGAAGTTTACTTTATTGGGCAGGTCCATTGCTTCATAGAAAGACTGGAAGCTTTAAAGCAGGAGTGGGGAACCTGCGGCCCACTGCTTCATTTCATCCTGCCCGTGGCAAGCCTTGATGCCACAGGCCAAAAGCCTCGAGCCTCGGCGTCCCCTTGGAGGGCTGGAGCCGCAAGCACCAGCTCGCCCCACTGCGGTGGGAAGCTAGGGTCAGTTCCAGCTCCAGGAAGCGACAGGCATGTCCCTGCAGCCCTTAGGAGCAGGGGCAATCAGGGAAGCTCTGCGTGCTGCCCCTGCCCCCAGTGCAGGATCTGCAGCTCCCATTGGCCAGGAACCGCAGCCAATGGGAGCTGTGGGCATGGGCAGCGTGCACCATGCTGAGCCCCTTGGCTCCTCTGCCTAGGGTCCAGACATGGTGGCCGCTTCCAAGAGCAGCCCAGAGCCAGGGCAGACAGGGAGCGTGCCTTTGACCCGCTGCACTGCCAGCTGGGAGCTGCCTGAGGTAAGCACCGCCCAGCCGGAGCCTGCAACCCAAACCCCCTGCCCCAGCCCTGAGCCCTGTTCCACACCCAAACTCCCTCCTGGAGCCTGCACCCCAAACCTCCTTGCACACCCCTGCCCTGAGCCCGCTCCTGCACTCCAAACCCCTTGGCCCCAGCCTGGAGCCCTCTCCTACATGCCAAACCACCCACCCCCCAGCTGGAGCCCTTACCCTCCAGCCCAGAGCCCCCTCCTGCACTCTGAACCCCACATTTCTGGCCCCAGCCTGGAACCTAGGGGAAGCCCCAAGCCTCTGCCTGCCCCCATGGGGCTGTGTGTGGCCTGCAAATGATTTTTTCTGTGGGTCGATGGCCCCTGATAGAAAAAGGTTCCCCACCCCAACTTTAAAGCTTAACTACACGTTGATACTGCTTAAAGTGCAAGTGGTGGTGACACTTCAGATAAATTTCCCATGTGCACATTATCTTTCTATAGTTTCTTCTCATGTTTCTATTTAGAATGTTTTTAATGGAAGTCAAATATGTGTTATACATGGAATTGAAATAAAACAATCAAAATACAGAGCTAGCTTTGAACCCGGAAGTCTCCCACACTTTGTCACCAAAGAGAAATGTGATGATAGTTCTATATTGGCAAATATTCTTACTTTGGCTACTCTTTGCAGCTCTTTAGGAGCAGCTAACTGGCAAATCCCCTTCTGTATGTTCACTGAGCCCTCATGAGTCCAGAGGTTTTGAGTTCTTCCTTATTTATTGCTGAGACTGTTGCTTTCCTACCAAAATGAACAGTTGAAGAAGATAGAGGGGAAATGTCCTGTTACCTGCCACAGTGTCCCAGCATTGCAGATGGGAGGCACTCCCCATCTAATCTGCCAAATTAATCAGCAGAGCAGTTCCAGTCCTGCCTTCAGCTGGGAAGTAGAGGCAAAGATGGGAAACACAAAATGGAATCTAAAACCAAACAATTACAAATTTAAAGCAGCTGGAGTTCTACTCTAAAAACACTTCCTGGATTTAAAAAGTATGCAGTTAATACCTGTGTGATTAAAAGTAATCCTGTTTTAATGGGCCATGTTCTCATTGCAACTTTTGGGAAACATTACTGAAGTAACTGTCTTATGCCACTCATTTCTATTAACTTTATAACTCAACTTCTTTTTTCTCCATAGGTAATTCTGGAAACTATGGACATACTCTTTAGAATAAGAGGAGGCCTGGATCTTGCATTTCAGCTGGATACTACTGATGGTGTGTCTATAAGAATATCATAAAATCACCTCATAAGAGTATAAAGTCTGAATAGAAGAGAATTAACTAACCACACTGGATATAATAATTTTGTCACCTGCTCACCAAATATTTAGGATTTCTCTCCAAACCGTAAAGGATCAGTGCATGAAGTTGATTTCATTTTTTGACCTCCCTCTCATGTTTCATTTCCTGACAACCTCCTCCCTTCCACTACACACCTTTTTTTTTTTTAGTTTAAAGCAATACCAAAATCAGTAATTTGGGGGGCGGGGAGGTTAATTTCCAAATTTATACCACTTATGGGATGTGTATTGGGACCATTTTTGACTTGCCCACCCTTCCCTAAATCTTTGTGAAACCCTGAAAATCAAAAATTGTTTTAGAGTGACACTTACTTACAATGAATTCAGGTACTGCAAAACTCCATGAATAGTACAAAATTTACCTAAATCTGAGGAGCATGGTTAAGGTAATCTATGCTACATAAGCTCCATCGTAGGCCATGCAGAAAGAGGGTATGTGCAGTAGCCATTCAGAGGCTTCTGCACCCAAATATTTAGTTGCACAGGATTCTGCACTGATCCTAAATAAACTCACAAGTGGAGACCATTGTTAGGGACCACAGAAGCAGCTCTAATATGTACTCAGTGGCCTGCATGGAGGCTTCAGCTTCTATTCGAGCTCGTGATCTGGAATAGAGGTAGTGAACACATTCCGATGAAGCACAGTATTCTGTCTCTGGATTCCAGCTTCACCATCCCTTTTTTAATTCTTCACACAAAGACTCATTACTTGGACTTTGCTTAGAAAAGGGTGAATTTCACTGTCAGTGAAGCAGAACAAAAGTCCCAAATTATCTCAATGACATGTAGTTTGCAACTTAATATTCTTCTAATAGAGAACCTCCTTATATATAGAAAAGTGGTCACGTGGAGAGAGTGAGGGCCTTCACTGAAGAAGGTTCCATTATATTTTTGTTTACACACGTTGTGGTGTATTTTCGTATACTTTAATTACTACCGATATCAGTCCCAGACTTCTTATGCAAAATTCATTATATGGGTCTACAGTAACTTAATCAAGTTTAAAAAAAAGGGAAATTCATAGCTATGATTGCCTTTGCATAACTTGCTGCATTCTGAATACTGGGTGATTTAACAGGACTAATCATATATGTAAGAATTGCAATATATATTTGCTCAGCATACAAGTAAAAAGATTTTTTTGTAATTGCCATTACTTCAGACTCAAAATAGAGATCTGAAAGTCAAGCTATATTCTTTCTGGTTCATTCATCATCACCAGCAGTAGAGGTTCCACAGGAGAAATTTTGTCTTCACCTACTACCTGTACAATGCTACTAAAGACAGTGAGGTTCCACAGGTGTAAATAAAGCTGGAATGTGGCTCTGCAGTTGGAAGGGAGGCCATGATTCTGCAAAGACTTAAGCATGTGTGTAACTTTACACTTGTGAGTAGTCCCACCAAAGTCCGTGAGTTATATACGTACTTGAGATTTTGCAGGATTTACTCACCTAAGCATGTGTTCAAGTGTTTGCAGGATGGAGCCTTAGTTAACAATTAGGGCTGTCAATTAGTCACAGTTAACTCATGTGATTAACTCAAAAAAATTAATCGCGATTAAAAAAATTAATCGCGGTTTTAATCGCACTGTTAATAGAATATCAATTGAAATTTATTAAATATTTTGGATGTTTTTCTACATTTTCATATATATTGTAGTCTGTGTTGTAATTGAAATCAAAGTGTATATTATTTTTATTACAAATATTTGCACTAAAAATGATAAATAAAATAAATAGTATTTTTCAGTTCACCTCATTCAGGTACTGTAGTGCAGTCTCTTTGTCGTGAAAGTGCAACTTACAAATGTAGATTTTTTTTTTTTTTTACATAACTACACTCAAAAACAAAACAATGTAAAACTTCAAAGCCTACAAGTCCAGCTAGTCCTACTTGTTGTTCAGCCAATCACTAAGAGAAACAAGTTTGTTTACATTTACAAGAGATAGTGCTGCCCTCTTTTTATTTACAATGTCACCAGAAAGTGAGAACAGGCATTTGCATGGCACTTTTGTAGCTGGGCATTGCACGTTTTTAACGTGCCAGATATGCTAAACATTCGTATGCCCCTTCGTGCTTCAGCCACCATTCCAGCAGACATGCTTCCATGCTGATGACTCTTGTTAAAAAAATAATGCGTTAATTAAATTTGTGACTGAACGCCTTGGGTGAGAATTGTATGTCCCCTGCTGTTTTACCCTAATTCTGTCATATGTTTCATGTTATAGCAGTCTCGGATGATGACCCAGCATGTGTTGTTCATTTTAAGAACACTTTCACTGCAGATTTCACAAAACGCAAAGAAAGTACCAATGTGAGATTTCTAAAGTTAGCTACGGCACTTGACCCAAGGTTTAAGAATCTGAAGTGCCTTCCAAAATCTGAGAGGGACAAGGTGTGGCGCATGCTTTTAGAAGTCTTAAAAGAGCAACACTCCAATGAGGAAAATACAGAATCCGAACCACCAAAAAAGAAAATCAACCTTCTGCTGGTGGCATCTGATGCAGATAATGAAAATGAACATGCATCGGTCCGCACTGCTTTGGATTGTTATAGAGCAGAACCAGTCATCAGCATGGACGGATGTTCCCTGGAATGGTGGTTGAAGCATGAAGGGACATACGAATCTTTAGCGCATCTGACATATAAATATCTTGCAACGCCGGCTACAACAGTGTTATGCAAACACCTGTTCTCACTTTCAGGTGACATTGTAAACAAGAAGCGGGCAGCGCTATCTCCTGCAAATTGTAACCAAACTTGTTTGTCTGAGCGATTGGCTGAACAAGAAGTAGGACTGAGTGGACTTGTAGGCTCTAAAGTTTTACATTGTTTTATTTTTGAATATAGGTGTTTGTTTTTTTTACATAATTCTACATTTGTAAGTCCAGATTTCATGATTAAGCAATTGCATTACAGTACTTTTATTAGGTTAATTGAAAAATTCTATTTCTTTTGTTTTTTACAGTGAAAATATTTGTAATCAAAAATAAATATAAAGTGAGCACTATACACTTCGTATTCTGTGTTGTAATTGAAATCAATATATATGAAAATGTAGAAAATATCAAAAAATATTTGAATAAATTGTATTTTTTTATTATTTAACAATGCGATTAATCGCGCTATTAATCTCTAATTTTTTAATTGCACGATTAATTGCGATTATTTCTTTTAATCGCTTGACAGCCCTATTAACAATGCTGTTTTTGATGTGTGAACCAGAATATAATCCAGCACAGTCTTCTCTAGCCGTGTTGGCTCTGCAAGGGTAACAGAAGTAAAAGGCAATATTACAATTTTGTTCAAGCACTAGAGCAGGGGTGGCCAAACTGTGGCTCGTGAGCAACAAGTGGCTCTTTTATAAAGTGCAGTTCGTGGATCCCTCCACACTTTCTGCCCTCCCATTCTGTGCTTTCCAGACTCTGTGGGAGAGCTCAGGGCTTCTGCCCTGTGTTGGGGTAGAGGCTTCTGGTACCTACTTAGCGGGTGGGGGGGGGGTGTCACACCCACCAAGAACACTACCCCTCTTAGCTCAGCTTCCCCTCCCTGCAGCTCACAGGTGTTAGCTCCTCATGGAGAGGTAGCAGCAAGCAGTTGGGAGCTGCAGGGAGGGGCTGCTGCTTTAGCTCCGCAGGGAGAGGCAGCAGCAAAAATAGTGGCTCTTCCTGCAGCTCCCAGCTGTTTGTCACTGCCTCTCCCCACGGGCCGCAGGGCTCCAGTAGCTGCCATGCAGGGAGGGAGCCCTGTGGCACCATGTGACCAAGCGGGGCCTGCAAACCCTGGCAAAAAGGGAGAGTGGGACATAACCCCATGTGCCCTCCCATGCGTCACCTCTGGCTTCTGCCCAGCGGGAAGGGGAGTCTCAGGGCTTCAATCCCATGCAGCGTGCCTGCCCAGGCTCAGGGCTGAATCCCCAAGACCTCCCTCCCTGTAATGCTGAAGCCCTGAGCTCTGACAGGCACATCCTGGCTCTTAAACTTCTGAAGATTGTCGTATGCGGCTCAGAGGGTCAGTAAGTTTGGCCACCCGTGCACTAGAGTAAGCAGATATGATTTTTGCATATAGTTGGAGTAGATCTGTTAAGTAAAAAGAAGCCAGATGAAATCCTGGCCCCATTGATTTCAGTGGAGTTTTGCCATTGACTGCAGTGGGACTAGGATTTTTGATCACTATTTTCACATAGCCATTTGTCTGATTGTAGCAACACTTCCTTTTTTTTTTTTTTCCAAGGACAAAATTAAACATTTTTACTTTAAATGTACATCTGGTAGCTGTAATAAAAGTTAGGGAATTATTTGAACAACACTAATTATATCCTCATTCTGTTTTAGAGACTTCGGCGAAAAAGGCAGTAAAATACGTTTTCAGTGATCTGTCGACCAAACTGTCTTCAAATGTACTGGTATTAAGAATTTGCCATAGTTCAGTGTATGTATGGCCTAACAGCAATATGAACACAGTTCCATCAGAACTGACTGATAATTCTGTTTGTAAGGAGATCATACGATTTATTCAGTGAGTATATTTGAAACCAATGGGTACATCATACTTTTTGTAATAGATTAATTTCATATTATTAGTTTCTCTCTGCTAATATTGCAGATTTGACCAAGAAGATGAGACCAAAAGAAAACTTGCAAAAAAGAAGGATAAAAAGTTCCAAGATACGGTATATATTCCATCCATATTAACAGCTTATAACAAGCAAATGCTCTTTTCTCACAAGCTGATCCACACAGGCAAACCTTTCCATCCACAGAGAACACCATTGAAGTCAGTGGTGCTCTACATGAATGCAAAGATTCACCTGCACAGATGAGCATGCAGAAGCAGGCCTATAGTCTTTAATACTGTTAGATATCTTAGCTAGTTATTTGTTTCTGGCCCCTGACATTGTTCAAAAATGCATCTTCCTTTCATCTGTCTCTTATTACATCTAATTGTGGGCCTGTTTTGTTTTGGGGTTCTTAACTTTTGCTGTCTCTGGAGCCCCTTCACCTTCATGGGTCTTATGAATCTACTTTTTTCTTCCATCCCTTCTTGGTGCATGTATTGTTGGACATGTATGTGACGGGTTGGACCACAGAAACCCCCTTGGGAGCTGCCACCCGATGTGCCAAGACTACCCCTGCTTCTGTTTTCCCTGCCAGCTCAGGACTCCAGCACCCCGTCTTGCTGAATTAGACACTCCAGTCCACTTCAACACAGACCCAGGGTCTGAATTACTTGTCCCAAAGCTGCGAGTTTACCCAAAAACAGCTCACAGGAGTGTGCTTGTCTTTAGCACTCAGATGCCCAACTCCCAATGGGGTCTAAACCCAGATAAATCCGTTTTACCCTGCATAAAGCTTATGCAGGGCAAACTCATAAATTGTTCGCCCTCTATAACACAGATAGAGAGATATGCACAGTTGTTTGCTCCCCCAGGTATTAATACATACTCTGAGTAAATTACTAAATAAAAAGTGATTTTATTAAATACAGACAGTAGGATTTAAGTGGTTCAAAGTAGTAACAGACAGAACAAAGTAAGTCACAAGCAAAATAAAATAAAATGCGCAAATCTATGCCTAATCAAACTAAATACAGATAATCTCACCCTCAGAGATGCTTCAAGAACAGGAGTACTTGTGGCACCTTAGAGACTAACAAATTTATTAGAGCATAAGCTTTCGTGGGCTACAACCCACTTCTTCGGATGCTTCAGTAAGTTTCTCTCAGACTGGACACCTTCCAGGCCTGGGCACAATTCTTTCCCCTGGTACAGCTCTTGTTCCAGTTTAGGTGTTATCTAGGGGCTTCTCCATGATGGCTCCTCTCCCTCTCTCTTCTCTTCCACCCCTTTATATATCTTTTGCATAAGGCGGGAACCCTTTGTCTCTCTGGGTTTCCACCCCCCCTCACTGGAAAAGCACCAGGTTAAAGATGGATTCCAGTTCAGGTGACATGATCACATGTCACTGCAAGACTTCATTACTCACTTGCCAGCACACACATATACAGGGAGACTCACAGGTAAACAGCCATCTGCAGACAATGGGAGTCATTAAGATTCCAAACCATCATTAATGGCCCACACTTTACATAATTACAATAGGCCCTCAGAGTTACATTTTATATTTCTAGTTTTAGATACAAGAGTGGTACATTTCTACAAATAGGATGATCACACTCAGTAGATTATGAGCTTTGTAATGATACCTTACAAGAGACCTTTTGCATGAAGCATATCCCAATTACATTATAGTCACTTATCAAATTTTTATAAAACTATCCCAGTTACATTATATTCACTTATTATCATGTTTTTATAAAACCATATAGACTGCACAACGTCACAATGTATTATTGGTGCATGTAACTGTCTTTATTCTTTTCAGAAGCAGATAGTAAATGTAGACCTTATGTTGGAAATGACATCTCCTTTGGCAGCTGTAGCCCCAGTCATTGAAAGGGAAAACAAGAGACACCACTACGTTAACATGACCTTACCAATTGATGTTGTTGTATCTGTTTCTCCAGAAGAGCCATGGAGGAAGTAAGTATAATATATCTTTGAGTTGTATTTTTGAGTTTGCTTTAGTTTGTTCTTTGTCTTTGCTTTCTAAATAAAATTGTGGATACTAAAGCTACATCATCTTATAATTTAGCAATTTTCAATATAGGTGGGATATGGAATAAAATTGAAATCTTTTCAGAGTGTTTGAAAGCCTTCACAATAGATATTCCTTGGTTTAATGAGTGTGATCTTGTGACAATCCCATTATCTATAATGTATTCAAAGTTTATGATTAAGGCTAAGATTTAGTCACGGGTATTTTTAGTAAAAGTCATGGTGGACAGGTCACGGGCAATAAACAATAATTCACGGCCCGTGACTTTACTATAAATACCTATGATAACTAAATCTCTGCTCCTGGGGCCTCACTGCTCTGGGGGCCCCCTGCTCCAGCAGTGGGGGCTGACTGCCCCAAGTGGCCCACTACTCCAAGGCCCCCGGGGACCACTCTCCTGAGGGCCTCCGGGGCAGCTGCTCTGGCTGCCCCTGGGACCGCTGCTTCTTGGGTGGTCCCTGGGGTCGCCCCCAGGACCAATGCTTGGGCAGTCCTTGGGGCCAGCCACACAGGCCACTGCTCAGGCAGTCCCCAGGGCCAGCTGCCCAGGGCCACACAAGCAGCAGCCAGTGCGGCCGGCCCTGGGGACCACCCAAGTGGCTAGCCCCGGTGCAGCTGGCCTTGGGGTAGCCCCCAGCACTGCTGCTTGGGCGATCCTTGGGGCCAACTGCCCGGGGCCGCCTGAGCAGAAACTGGTGTGGCTGACCCCACGGCTGCTCCAGCAGTGGCCAGTGGGGCTGGCCACAGGGCGCCTGAGCAGCTGGCCCCAGGGTCAGCCACACCGGCTGCTCCAGCTGCAGAAGTCATGGAGGTCACAGAAAGTCATGGAATCCATGACTTCCGCGACCTCCATGACAGAATTGCAGCCTTATTTATGATGGATTAATATAACGGTATTCAATTTCTATGTTGAAGTGGTAGTGGTATATTTACATTTTATTTAACATATAGGGTTTTATTATCACCTAGTGTTATGCGATTTAATGTTCATTAGGGTTTTTGGAGCTAATTGGTGTTTAACATAATGTCTGATAATTATGCCAATTCTTTATTCACTCAAAAAAAAATGTAGATTGCTAGGAAAATATTCAAAAGATATTATGCCAGATTCTTTTAATTACAGTAAATACACACAGATACATGTGTGAGAGAGAGAGGAATGTTTGATAAATGCTTGTTGTCTCAGTACTGCGCTTAGGAAGTCACACATGCACCTGGACAGGCTGAGGAGGAAAACAATACAGAAATGATATCCACAGCACTCTTTCCTTGGAGCTTCATCCTGCAAGGTGCTGAATACAGTGGTTACAATCCAGAAAAGCATTTAGGCACATGCCTAACTTTATGCACATGAGTACATCCAGTTCAGCTTGGGTGATTTGCTGAATTGAGGCCAAAATATGCAATACTTTCTAGGGTTGAGTCATTGGAGTGTAGCATCTTTGTACATATGAGTTGTGAGCAACACCTGACAAGGCTCTGCTCACATCTGCTGGTATGGGCTGAAGGAGGGATAAGAGCAGCAGATGCATTAAACTGGTTGTGGAGGTGGGTATAGCTTTGAGAATGAGCCAGCATTGCTGGTGTTCTAGTTCGTAAATATTTTCCCTTATATCTCATAGTGTACGAAATCTCCTGGTGAATGCAACTCATAAGCAACTAACTGATATGGAAAGATGCATTTTGAAATATATGAAGGGAACATCCATTGTGGTACCTGAACAATTTCACTTCATGCTACCAGGAAAAAAGCACCTTGTAACAATTTCGTATCCTACAGGCATTTTAGATAATCGTCTAGAGACTTACAGAAAGGTAAAGTTGGCTGCTGTAGACCAAATATTGACACATCATGATTTGTAATTATGACTGAAACATACATATATTTGGTTTATTGAAACATATTTTTAATGTGTTCATCGGGCACTTTTCTTCATAAACAGAAGTTTATGGTTATTTGTATAAGAGAACCTATGTGGATTTGTGATAACTGAAGCGGTGGGGGAGCTCCCTTATGGACACCCAGCCAGCCAGTTAGCTGTAAAATCCCTCTTGGTGTCTGTTCTCTGCTTGCTTTACCTGTAAAGGGTTAACAAGCCCACAGGTAAAAGAAAAGGAGTGGGCACCTGACCAAAAGAGCCAATGGGAAGGTAGAACTTTTTAAAATTATGAAAGAAACTTTTCTTTTGTCTATTGTTCTCAGGGCCGGCTTTAGCAAGTGCGGTGCCCGATTCCTGGGGCTTGTACTCACCGGGCGGCGCTCCCAGTCTTCGGCAGCACTTCGGATTGCCGGCCAGGGGAGGGGGGTCGCGGGGTTTGCCGCGCTCCAGACGGGGCCGTGGGGCAGCTGTGCTCGGCCGGGGTCACAGGAACACGGGGCTGCCGCGCTCTGGCTGGAGCTCCAGCCGGGAGAGCGGGTCCAAGGGGCTTGCGGCGCTCCGGCCAGGGTCGCAGGGACGTGGGGCTGCCGCGCTCCCGCCGGAGCTCCAGCCACGAGAGCGGGGGGCCGCGAGGCTTGCCGTGCTCCGGCCGGGGTCATGGGGCCGCGGCACTCCGGCCAGGGTAGCGGGGCCGTGGGGCAGCCGCGCTCCGGCCCGGGTCACGGGGCTGCGGCACTCCGGCCAGAGTTGCAGGGCTGTCATGCTCCGGCCGGAGCTCCAGCCGGGAGAGCGGGGCCGCGGGGCTTGCGGCGCTCCGGCCGATGCTCTGGCCAGGGGGGTGGGGCCGCCGAAGATTTAAATTTATATTTAAAAAAAATTAAAAAGGCGCGTAAGGCGCGTGGCCCTCTTAGGCGCGGGGCCCGATTCCGGGGAATCGGGCGAATCGGCCTAAAGCCGGCCCTGATTGTTCTCTGTGCTGGAGGAACACGTGGCAGCAATGCTATAGCAGGAATGCTGTGTAAGGTTTGAATCAGGTATGAAAATTCATCTTCCATACCTAGAAGAAATTATTTGGATAGGGAATGTTTAGACAGAAACAATCCGGTTTATTTTTTATTTTTGCTTGTGGATCTCCTCTGTGCTAACCCCTAATGCTTTTGTTTGCTTGTAACCTTTAAGCTGAACCCCCCCAAGAAAGCTATTTTGGGTGCTTAATTTTTGGAATTGCTCTTTTAAAATCTAGCAAAAGCCTAAGTTCCAGGTGTATTTTTTTCCTTTTTGTTTTTAATAAAATTTACCTTTTTTAAGAACAGGATTGGATTTTTGGTGTCCTAAGAGGTTTGTGCATGTTTGATTAGCTGGTAGCACAGCTAATTTCCTTTGTTTTCTTTCTGAGCTCTTCCCCCGGGTGGAGGTGGGGGGTGAAAGGGCCTGAGGGTACCCCACAGGGAGGAATTCCCAAGTGTTCCTTTCTGGGTCCAAGGGTTTTTTTGTGTTGTTTTTTTTCCCTTTGAGTGGTGGCAGCATTTACCAAGCCAAGGTCAGAGAAAAGCTGTAACCTTGGGCGTTTAATACAAACCTGGAGTGGCACGTATTAATTTTGAGAATCCTTGCAGGCACTCAGTGACGGAGTGGGGAATTTTCTTTAATTTATAACATAGTCAGATTGTTTCATATTTCTTTATTCTCAGTACTATTTAACATTGTATATTATTTTCATAAAATTAATCTTTTTGATTGAACTTTTTGCCATACATCTATTTGTAATTGAGGCCCCAGTCCTGCAAAGAGTTTTGTTTCTTGCTGAGTACCGTTCACTGATGCTGAGTCCCATTCACTTCAATGAGTCTTTGCAGTACTGGCGTGTTAGTGTTAAACACATACATTCAATATTGATTATTCTAGAGGTTTTAGTATGTGACAGTTTCTAAACTGCTATATTAAAAACAATATTGGTTATGAAAACTTAACTACCATTTGGAGTAATTTTTTTAAAGAAACTTGAATTATTCTCTTGTTCGTTATCCCTTCATTTTGATTCTGACTTGCATGTAGGAATTACATGAACTGTTCCATCTGCCCTCTGATAGACCATATTTAAGAAGAGCGAATGCTTATCACTTTCCAGATGAACCGTATAAAGATGGATATCTCAGAAATCCACACACATATCTCAATCCACCTGGCATAGAGGCTGGTATGGTAAGTTTCACTTGTGGCATTTATAGGAAAATGCTTCTTATTTTACATAAATCTTGTTGATAATCATAAATCTGGTGTCATAGCCAATGCTACATTTCCATTTCATGTAGTCACCATGGTAGTCTTTTTACTTGACTAAAATTTCTGACTGTACGTGAGACAAATACTGAAAACTAAAACTGAATAAGGTAGGGAAATTAATCCAGGCTCTCATTCTTTGCCCACCCTTCCTAGAGATGCTGTCATCTCTAGATAGGTTGACAAGTTTCACAAGTTGGAACCTGGAAGCTCAGGTTTTTTTTCAGTCATAGTAAGGAGAAATTCATTTTATTTTTAAAATATTTGGAAACTGTGGACTTAACTGCAGTGAACTAAAGCTATAGACAAACACTTCAATGTGAGTGTACCCTTACAAGCCATTTTGACAGCTACAGCTGAACCACAATAGTCAAAGGATTTGGTTTTCAAGAGTCTCTGCCAACATTCTCAAACTAGGTCTACAAAATGAAACACTTTGAGAACCAAGCATTGAAGAGAGTTTGTGAAACAATCTCTCTCAGACAAAGTGGTCTGTAGAATGAAAAAGCTGGAAAACCTTTGGCCTTAGTCATGGATTCACAGGATGAGATTTGTGACCACCTCATCCTTTCTCATACTGTTAAATGGAGATGGATCCCAGTTGGAGGGAAGTGGAGGTCCTAGGGTGATCCTGGTGTAGAAAAGAAGATCCCAAATATGGAAAAAGTTGAGAACTGCAGTTCTATTCTCATGCTTCATAATCTGCTCTGTCCACTAAGACCTTATAGCAACAATCTTAATTGAGGGACTATATTGCTGAGTGTCCTGTGATGACAGGTGAGAGTCTCAAGAATGGCACTGGTAATCTTCATGAATTATAATCTTGAGAGGAGTTTGTGGGGGGACTGGAGGACTGTGGCTCTTTAATTCTCTTCCTTGTCTCACCCCTTATCTTTACCTAAATGTGTCATTAAAATCCTTCAGGGAAAGGCTCAAAACTGTCTTTTATTTCCATTGTATATTTTTGTTTAATGTCTGGTAGTAGAGAATGATGTGGGGTTTATTAGTGTCTTTAGATCTGCTCTGGCAAAATGTTAAGGTACAGTACTCTGTTTTTAATTCTATTATTGCTTTTACTATTAATTTTGGTGTATGGATGGCACTTTACAGACATAAGACCAGGTCCTAGCCTCAGAGACTTTACAGTCTAAATAGATATTGCAAAAAATAATTGTATGAGATCTCAGGCAGTGAAGGGGAAGAGACAACATTAAAAGAAAGGGACTAAGTATTGCATTTACCTTTTCATTAAGGTGCTCGAGAGGCCTTGGGATAGGGATAAATAAAATTATTATAATGTATTATTGATAGTACAGATCTTGGTGTTAGAATAAGAGTTTTCTAAAACTCTGTATCTCTGCAGCCGTGTCTGTTGCTCCCTCCTGCTTCTCTGCTGCTCCTGCTGCTATACTATGCTGCTTTGCCTGTAGAAACTGCTGTGAGCAGTACTGTAATACTAGGGAGAGGACAAAGGATTAAAAGCAGCTAGAATAGCAGCTACCAGGAGGGGTCAGAAAAAAAAAAAGGCATGCCCCCTTGCAACTTCCTTGGGGATATACTATAGAGTTTTAGAATCCGTGCGGTGTACAGTAGTCCAGTATTGATACAGAATAACTCTATCAGGTCAAATTTGCCCCAACCGGGCAAACTGGTTGAAACTATAGTAAAGAACAGAATTATCAGACCCATAGATTAAAATGATTTGTTGGGGAAGAGTCAACATGGGGTTTTTATAAAGGGAAATCATGCCTCACCAATCTACTAGAATTCTTTGAGGGGGTCAACAAGCATGTGAATAAGGGTAATCCAGTGGATATAGTGTACTTAGATTTTCAGAAAGCCTTTGACAAGGTCCTTCACCAAAGGCTCTTAAGCAAAGTAAGTTGTCATGGGATAAGAGGGAAGGTCCTATCATGGATCGGTAACTGGTTAAAAGATAGGAAACAAAGGGTAAGAATAAATGGTCAGTTTTCAGAATGGAGAGAGGTAAATAATGGGGTCCTCCAGGGATCTGTACTGGGACCAGTGCTATTCAACATATTCATAAATGATCTGGAAAAAGGGGTAAAGAGTGAGATGGCAGAATTTGCAGATGATACAAAACTATTCAAGATAGTTAAGTCCAAAGCAGACTGTGAAGAGTTACAAAGGGAGCTCACAAACTGGGTGACCGGGCAACAAAATGGCAGGTGAAAGTCAGTGTTGATAAATTCAAAGTAATGCACATTGGAAAACATAATCTCAACTAAACATAAAAAAATGGTGGGGTCTAAATTAGCTATCATCACTCAAGAAAGAGATCTTGGAGTCATTGTGAATAGTTCTCTGAAAACATCCACTCAATGTGCAGCGGCAGTCAAAAAAGCTAACAATGTTGGGAATCATCAAGTGAGGGATCGATAGTAAGCCATAAAATATCATATTGCCTCTATATAAATCGATGGTGCGCCCATATCTTGAATACTGCATGTAGATGTGGTCACCCTATCTCAAAAAAGATATATTGGAATTGGAAAAGGTTCAGAAAAGGGCAACAAAGTTTAGGGGTATAGAACAGCTTCCATACGAGGAGAAATTAATAAGACTGGGACTTTTTAGCTTAGAAAAGAAACGACTAAGGGGGGGATATGATAGAAGTCTATAAAATCATGACTGGTGTGGAGAAAGTAAATAAAGAAGTGTTATTTACTCCTCCTCATAACACAGGAAATAGGGGTCACCAAGTGAAATTAATAGCAGCAGGTTTAAAACAAACAAAAGGAAGTATTTCTTCACACAACGCACAGTCAACCTGTGAAACTCTTTGCCAGAGGATGTTGTGAACGCCAAGGCTATAATAGGATTCAAAAAAGAACTAGATAAATTCATGGAGGATAGGTCCATCAGTTGCAATTAGTCAAGATGGGCAGGGATAGTGTTCCTAACCTCTGTTTGCCAGATGCTGGGAATGGCCGACAGGGGATGGATCACTTGATGATTACCTATTCTGTTCATTCCCTCTGAAGCACCTGGCATTAGCCACTGCGGGAAGACAGGATACTGGGCTAAATGGACCTTTGGTCTGACCCAGTATGGCCGTTCTTATATTTTTTGCAGATCTTTCATCTATTCCAATTTCTGTCAGCTCTATTTTACATATATATGTACATCTGACTCTGTATTTACTTATAGCATGTTTTGTAACCAGATTGGACAAACATCTTTACTAATGTGGTCTGATAGCCATTCCTCTGCATGGGGCTAAACATTCGATCAAGTGATCTAATTGGCTTAATAACTAGATGTTACTGTGACCTGTTAATTTAATTCACAATGATTCAATCAACACTGCATTTGGCATCCATACTCTAGCTAGAGCATGATCTGAAATGTCTGTACCACCACTTCACTGGCCTCTAGGATTTGCTAAGTTTGAATTCATCCCCTAACGTGAGTCATCAATATGCCAAGTAAAACATTCTGACTGTGTTCCTGAATTTACAGAAAATTGCTTACAAGTCCAGTGATGACTGAATTGTAAAAATGCACTTTAAGGATTTCTCCCTTGTTCTTTAAAAAAACCAAACAAACCAAAACCTTCAAGTTACGTCTTGGGCATGGGGAAGCAAGAAGTCACACAGCTATTTCTCTCATGAATCATAATCAATTATTTGAAAACTAACATACCGCAAGTGTCAAAATCAAATAATGAATATTCAGCTTCTGAGACAACAGCTCCTGAGATAGAGGTGTTTGTTTGTTTTTTGTCTTTTCTTTTTCTGTTCAGGTGTATTTGGTACATGGTGTATATAGTTATCATCATTATATGCAGGATCGGATAGATGATAATGGCTGGGGATGTGCCTACCGGTCTCTGCAAACTATCTGTTCATGGTTCAAACATCAGGGTTACACAGAGAAATCTATACCTACACACAAGGAGATTCAACAGGTACAGGACAAAGAAACAGACTGCATTTCATGTTTATTTACTGTATTTCTCTAGAAAAATCAATTAATGCTATAGAACTGATTATTAAAAGTACTATTCCATTGATTTTAACATGCTTTATGTAATAAACTCTTTTAAAAAAAAATCTAATTTATGTTTCTATTTTCTGATCCATTCATAGTTACTATTCACATTTATCTGTAAGACTTCTGAGTATCACTTTTAGAACATTTTGTTGTAATGGATTGTGTTTCCAGTTATGTACATTAAATGACTGGCATTAAAATAGTTTTCCTTTTCTTCAAAAGAATTCCAGGAAATAAGATTTTTATTATAAGTTCTTTTGGTTGGTATTCTCTTGGAATCTCAATCATAGCATAGCCAAAATACACCCTCACAGCATTTACCAAATGGGAGAGATTTAAGGGCCCAATCCAATTCCATTAAAGTCAATTAAAAGATTCCCTTCTGACTTCAAGGGAGTTGGATCAGGCCCCAGATTAATAAGGACTGATTTAGTCCTTTCTTATTTGGCAGACGTCATGTGTGCATGAGGGTATTTTTTTCTCTTTGGAATGTTCCTGAAATGAACATTCTCTTCTTTGTGAGAGGTATGCATGTGTGTCTTATATGTTCAGTTATGTTAGTACCATTAGAGAAACAATGCATGTTTGATTAGCGCATTCTGTACATCCAGCAGAAACTTTTATCTTTAGTGTCTTGTGAAAATAGTGTTTTGGGTTAATTTGTTTATTTAACAATTTTAGCAGCATAGTGATTTTGAAAGTGTTTAGACTACAATAATACTTAGCACTTATACTGGGCTTTCTATCTGAATCTTTATCAGATTATAAAAAGTAGAAGGTAGCTAAAATGTTGACTGTTAACCCACTTGAGAAAAATCAAGATATGTACATAATTTTCAGTATTTTATGTAAGAAATAGAATTTGAATAAAGTTAGACAGTGAATGTAAAATCAAAAATCACAAGAGTTGTAGATTAAATATACAGTTAAGATTTTTTAATCAAACTGTAATTGGCTATATGCACAGAATTTCTAATATATTATAAATACTCTCCTAACAGATATAAGCATGTTGAAGGGAATTCCAGGAAAAGTGTGTTAAATGTAAACAAGAAGTTAGACCCAATATATAACTAGTATTTGTGTGAAATATTTGCCTGTAGTGCTATTCTAATTTTGCAAAATTTAAGAAAATAGTAATATTTCTTCTTGACCATTTTTTTTCTTCAAGCTACATTTAGTGACATTTATTTCCCAGCTGGTGTTTGAAAAAAGAAAATGTTTCTAACATGGACAGAAAAAACGTTACCATTTTTAAACAGGATCTTTTGTTTCATTAAATATTCAATCATACCTGCATTCAGTAAATGTTTGCCTGCTTTTGACAAGTTAATTCACATATACTATAATATTTCTGGAACGTAAGTGGATATTATCGGTAGAAACTGTAAAAATGTCCATTACATACTGTTTCTTTTTTTTCTTTATGGGATGTGTGTTACAAAGGCACTTGTTGATGTTGGAGACAAACCAGCTGCATTTGTTGGGTCGCAGCAGTGGATTGGCTCTATTGAGGTACAACTTGTATTGAACCAGTTATTAGGAATAACTTCAAAAATACTGTTTGTCAGGTAAGAATTAATATTTGTTAGTTTTGTGTCTCAGTGATTAATTCTTTATTGGGGGAAAGTGTTGGGGTGAAGAATGGATCACTTAAGAGACTATTAGTAATAGGATATTAACCCCAATCCTGCAAGAACCTTCTGCAGGTGGCCCCTGCACCCAGCCCCACTGAAGTAAGGCACAGGCACAGGGGATCTGTCTGTGCAGAGGTCTTTGCAGGATTGGGTCTAAGTTTTGTTGATAAATTGTAGTCAATTGCTTGACTGTACTCTGGTTCGTTATGATAGATACTTAAGAGATCAAATAACCAGTGTCAGTCAGGTTTATTAATATGGTACAGGAAAAAGCGTCTATACGATACCAGTCTCTGAAGAGCAGTTCCATGCAGCAATGTTACATTCACCTTACGCTAAGAGGGTGTTCTCCAAAGTTATGCCCCTAAAGCCATCCTTTTATACCCTACATGTTTACCAGAAAAGTATACCATATACGTCATTTAGTCAGCTTTTTGTCTTGTTTGTTCTGGTACCATGGTGTGCCCAATGTGTTCCAGGTTATGATGCACTCTTATTTTTGTTTTGAGTGCATTCCAGGTACTAAGGGGGAGGAAGGTACTTAATGGACTTGTGTGGGCAGCTCTTTTCCTGTTGTTATAAAGAAATAATTATCCCTCCTGATACTTTAGAGTTTTCCTATCTATTCAATCCAAGGCTTATGTCAGCTAATGCAAGCTGTTATGGGATACTTAGCATAAGTGTTCAGGATTATAACAAAGGTGCAGGCTTTAACAATTACAGGATTACAACAATCTAGGCTATATAGTTGCTATAGTAATACGTAATATGTATACTTAAATGTTTAAAATATATGTATTGCAGGTGGTTATAATCAGCATAATGAATATGTTTGGTAGCCAGTGTATGTTAGTCAACAGTTTGTAATGACTGCAAATTGGTTCGTGGCATGTGCAAAGGGAATTGGTAGCCTGAGTTCAGTGCCCAGGGTATAAGTGCTCATGCACCAAATGGATTCCACTGAACATGTGTAGAGAAATAAGCTAAGGGATTTGAAAGTCAGCTATGCCTTGTAAGGCCTGAGTGGCTCAAGGAGGAATATTGCAGGCACCGAACCTGAGCGCTGCCAAGGCTCTGTGAGTTTAAGTCCACTCTAAGCAGAAATCTGAAATAAAAAGAAGGCATGTTGCTCCAGTCTGACTCTGGTAAGGGTTTTTTGTTTTGGGAAGTATAATCTGAGTACTGCAGAATATTCAGAAAGTCACTGAAACTATTTATTTTTGAAAAGAAAATAAATACACATGCAAATGCTCACTGGTAAGGGAGGGTGATTGGGGTGGAATAGTAGGGGAGAGGAGTTTGGGGTTCAGCAAGGAGGGGGCAATTATGGGGATGGGAATACTTGAGGATGTGCGGGTAGGAGAGGGTTTGGTGAGGGGGAGCAATAGGGGCTACATGGAGCGTGAGGGAAGGAGTGGGAGACTGGGAAGGGAGATATGGGACTGTGTGATGGGGGACTTGCAGAGAATAGGGGCAGAGGATCCTGCCAGCTCCACATTCCCTCCCATGTGTATGCCCGAATCTGGGGCTGCCTCTTTTGGCAGAGTCTGAGCCTCTCTCTATCTGTATGTGTTTGCCAGGATCTGTGGGGCCCAGAGACCATGGGACTGGTTGACTTTGGGCAAGTCAGTTCCCCGCTCTGTGCCTCAGTTTACCATCTCAAAAATGGGGATAATGATGTAAAGTTCTTTGTGATCTACTGATGAAAAGCACTGTATAAAAGCTAGGTCTATTGATTATTACTAGCCATAGTAGCACATCAGCTGCAAACATAGGTGAAAACTATCATTGCCTAAATGAACATTAACTCCTACCAACAAACATTTCTCTTTCAATTAAAAAATTTAGGAGATTAAGTGACAAATACTTCATTAACACAGAGTTATGCTTGCCCAGTGATAGCTTGTGCCCTTCCAGAACATCAAGTTTAGCAAAACTCAAACTTCTAAAAACCAGGGAATGCAGAGTTACGGTAAATGCGCAAGCCTTAACTCTGCCCCCCTGGAGCCGGCAAGAGCCACTAGGCAACTTTAACTCCTTGTTAACAATGTTTTTTGCCATTAAATAAGAATGTAGATTTCTCTCTGGTTCAGAGAACCCTGGAGCTGTTTAGTTGAGGTTCTTAAACCTTTTCCCTTAAACCTCCAGTTTGAAGCCACCATGAAGCTGTTGTCATGGTATCTTTCTTTTCACTGTGAGGCACAGCTCCCAATAGGCATCTTTCAATGACACTGTCTGAATTGGATAGAACTGATCATACTCTTCTCTATAAATTATATTGGGTGGTTGCACCAGCTTGTGTGAGCAGAAATATTAAGTTTTACTCCAGTGTAGTTTTCCTATATTATAAAACTCCTGGTCCTGCTACAGTGTTATTATGGGCGGGGAGGGGGGATGTAATAAAATTTATTTTTTTTAATTCTCATTATATAGCATAGAAATTACAAATTTATGTGGCTAAATAGTGAAAGAGATAAATAGGAAATTAAACCTAATAAAGAGGACAGTCTAATGCTGTGTTTCTTATACAGCCAGGGTTCTGAGCTAGCGTCTCAGGGAAGAGAACTTGCTAATCATTTCAAGACTGAAGGAACTCCAGTTATGATTGGTAAGCCTTTCACTATTGAAAAATGCCAAAGAATGTTTGTTGGTCACTTCTGTCAAGGTTTATTTTCATATACACTACTTTAGTGAGTGTATACAGATGAACTTCTAGGTATCCAGAACAACCCGAACATAAAAATGGCCATACTGGGTCCATTGGTCCATCTAGCCCAGTATCCTGTCTTCCAACAGTGATCAATGCCAGATGCTTCAAAGGGAATGAATAGAACAGGGCAGTTATTGCATGATTCAGCATTTGGCAGTCATGGGATAGCATACCTAGCCATTGATGGACCTATCCTCCGTGAACTTATCTAATTCTTTTTTGAACCCAGTTATACTTTTGGCCTTCACAACATCCCCTGGCAATAAGTTCCAAAGGTTGATTGCATTGTGTAAAGAAGTACTTCCTTTTGCTTGTTTTAAACCTGCTGTTTATTAATTTCATCAGGTGACCCCTGATTCTTGTGTTATGTGAAGGGATAAATAACACTTCCATATGTACAGTAGACCCTCAGAGTTACGAACACCTTGGGAATGGAGGATGTTCGTCACTCTGAAATGTTCATAACTGAATAAAATGTTGTGGTTGTTCTTTCAAAAGTTTACAACTGAACATTGACTTATACAGTTTTGAAATTTTACTATGCAGAAGAAAAATGTGCTTTTAACCATCTTAATTTAAATGAAACAAGCACAAAGACAGTTTCCTTTCTTTGTCAATTTTTTAAATAACTTTTCCTTTATTTTTTTAGTAGTTTACGTTTAACACAGTACTGAACTGTATTTGCTTATTTATTTATTTTTGTCTTTGCTGCTGCCTGATTGCATGCTTCTGGTTCCAAATGGTGTGTGTGACTGACCGATCAGTTCGTAACTCTGAGGTTCTACTGTACTTTCTCCACACTATTCATGATTTTATAGACCTCTATCATACCCCCTCTTAGTCATCTCTTTTCCAAGCTGAAAAGTCCCAGTCTTTTTAATCTCTCCTTATTCGGAAGCTGTTCCATACCCTTAATCATTTTTGTTGCCCATCTCTGTACCTTTTCCATTTCTAATATATCTTTTCTGAGATGGGGAGACCAATATTCAAAGTGTGGTTATACCCTGGATTTATATAGTGGCATTATATTTACTATCTTCTTCTCTATCACTTTCCTATTAGTTCCTAACATTCTGTTAGCTTTTTTGACTGCCACTGCACATTGAGCAGTTGTTTTCAGAGAACTACTGTGTCCACAATGACGCCAAGATCTCTTTTTAAGTGGTAACCGCTAATTTAGACCCCATCATTTTGAATGTATAGTTGGGATTATGTTTTCCAATATGCATTAGTTCTCATTTCTCAACATTGAATTTCATTTGTGATTTTGTTGCCCTCTCACCCAGTTTTGTGAGATCCTTTTGTAACTCTTCACAGCCAGCTGTGGCCTTAATAATCTTGATTTATTTTGTATCATCTGCAGACTTTGCCACCTCAGTGTTTACCCCTTTTTCCAGATAATTTATGAATATGTTGAATAGCACTGGGCCCAGTACAGATCCCTGGAGGACCCCACTATTTACCTCTCTCTATTCTGAAAACTGACCAATTATTCCTACCGTTTTTGTTTCCTGTCTTTTAACCAGTTATTGATACATTAGAGGACCTTCCCTCTTATCCCATGACTCCTTACTTTGCTTAAGAGCCTTTGGTGAAGGATTTTGTCAAAGGCTTTTTGAAAGTCCAAGTACAGTATATTCAATGGATCACCCTTGACAACATGCTTGCTGACATCTTCCAAGAATTCTAATAGATTGGTGAGGCATGATTTCCCTTTACAAAAGCCCTGTTGACTCTTATCTAACAAATCATGTTCATCTATGTGTCTGAGACTTCTTTTCTTTACTATAGTTTCAATCAGTTTGCCTGGTACTGAAGTTAGGCTTACCAGCCTGTAATTGCCAGGATTGCCTCTGGAGCCTTTTTTAAAAATTGGCATCACATTAGCTATCCTCCAGTCATCTGGTAAAGCTGCTGATTTATGTAATGGGTTACGTGCTACAGTTAGTAGATCTGCTATTTCATATTTGAGTTTTTCAGAACTCTTGGGTAAATACCATCTGGTCCTGGTGACTTATTACTCTTTAATTTATCAATTTGTTCTGAAACCTCTATCGACACCTCAATCTGGGACTGTTCCTCAATTTGTCACCTAAAAAGAATGTCTCAGGTGTGGGAATCTCCCTCACATGCTCTGCAGTAAGGGAGATTGCAAGATTAACAAAGTTCAGGTACACACCCTAGTATTGTCTTTTATCTGCTCTAAGATGAAGGACCATAAAAAGCTGATTTGGCTGGTGTCTTTTCATGGTGATCTAGGTCCCCAAACTTAGTATAGAGCAGGCTTGCTGAGGTCAGTCTGAATGATGTTCTCTAAATTCAAGAGACTAACATAGGTTTTGAAGTTTTCATTCCAGGTTTGATGGGCCAGCTACTCTGATTTTACAAAATAGTCTGCTCCCCGCACTAGCAACACTATTAGAGAATTATTTTGTATTGCTCAGCAGTAATTCCCTTGAGCATTAAAGAGCAGCATTTTATTGGCTTTCACTCCTTAGCAAAAATTTCTTTCCTAAAACCAGATGAAATATTTTAATAATTTTAAATGTTGGTAACCTGGGTATGGAAATTTGGATTTTAAGAACATTTGAATTTTTACTGATACTGTCCTGAAGGGGAATGGTGCTTTGAAAAAGTACAGAAAAACATTTTTTTTAAAATCAGCCTTAATATAAATATCTTATTTTCATTTTAATCATATTCCCCATCCTAACATATTTATGGACAAGGATTTATAATATCATCCAGATCTGTCTGAACTCTGGATAATATTGACCACCCTGCCATAAGATAGAGGTAGAGAAAATTATAACAAAATGTATTGCCTCAACTCCCTAGAAGAGGGTCAGTTCTGGCTGACATAAAGTTGCCTGTTTCTTAGCAGGCAGAAACTTCTTTATATGCTTTTTAACTATTCTTTTTGCTTTGATTTTTGGCATTTACTTTCTTCTCACCCTTTCTGACCTGACAGAATATGGCAGTGCTTTGTCAGTAAGAAGTTCCTTTGGTATTTTAATCTTTCTTTCCCTACTCCATCTAAAGCTGTCCATAAGTGCTACCCACTAATCAGCAGCAAGTAGAAATTGCTCTATAAATTTACAATCTTCAGTCTTGGGTCTCTGTGTTTTTCTTCAGAAGCTTCAGTATGAGAGCTTTTCACAAGGGCCCCAGCCTCAGGAATCTCAGATAGGTTCAATGCATGTGGCCCATTATAATCTGCATCTCCCAACCCATATCAATTCAACTTGTGAAAACTAATATCCCATCTGCCTACATTTTCTTTTGATTCTAGTGTGGCTTTACCAGTCCTGGCGTAAGCCCTTTTGAGGGAACCTTATTTCTGCTTGTAAAACCCCCACCATCATTTTTAATTCTCCTTTGGGGGATTAGTTTTATTGTGCTAAATTCCAGAAATCCCAAGGAATTTCCATCTTGATGTGCACTGTGCTTGGCCTTGTTAATGGAAGCACCAAAGGCCCCATCTGCCTTAACTGCAGGCTTTCAAGGACCCTAAATAAAACAATTTTTGAAAGTTCTATCATTTCCCCTCCCCCATACTGATATCCCCACCCTTTCTTTTGGGGCTTCTCCTCCTTTATACTCCCTTTTGTGGAGTTTCTTTGGTCCCACCACACTGAACCATCAGAGCAGTATTCTATGGAAGTGGACTCTCAGGTCCTCTCAAGGCAACCAAGTTGCATGTAGAGCTGAGGGCCAACTCAGCAAGAGGTCCCCTCCCATTGTTGCAGGTTGGAGTAAGAAAAGCCAGAAACCATTCTTCCTGCACCTAATCTTCATTGAGCTAGTGAGTGGGAAACAGCAGACATCCTGACTCAGAAATTCAGCTCCTTCCCAAGTCCTCAGAGAACCTATGGAAACAGTGATGGGTAGATGGGTTCTGAAACTTATTACCTCCTCTAAACTACATCTGTCTAGTGATTTTCATCGTGTATGGAGATACTAAGAAAAGACGCTCATGGCTTCCAAAGCTTCTGTGGCATGATTGTTGAGAGAATTAATTAAGGAAAGCTACCAAGCTAAAAGGGTGCCCCTCCACCAGGTGTCTTGAACCATTCTGGCAGTGTGCTGGATCATGTAGCTTTGGGCAGATAAGGAGGTGCCTCCCCATTGAGATTATACAAGGCCACTTAAAAATCCTTTCTTGCTATTATAGGGAAATCTTGAGGCATTTACAGATACCATCTTTGGAGGAGGTATGCTGCAATCAGGAAGATTTTTCAAGGGTTACCATGGCAAGTGGTTCTCAGTACTCACTCTAATGTATTTGATTTTGAATACTGCTTTTGAAATTCTTAATGTCCAGAATGACCAGGGTCATGTAGGAGAAAGGAAATACTTACATATTATTTGGTTTCTTCTAGTCCCTACTTAACTCAGTCTAGTCACCCAGCTTGTAGCCTAACTGTGTTGGAGAGGTGAGAAACAGACAAGTGGTATTTACCTTTATGGGCTTTTATACCTAATCCTCATAGTTTTAACATTTTAGACTTGTGTATGTTAACCTTGGTATCTAGTAACTAAACATTGTTGTGCTCTAGTTATACATACCGTATCCCTTCTTTTTCTCCTCTTTTGATTTATTGCTCACAAATGACCAATTATTATATTTTTTTGATTTAGTCTTTTTATTTTTGGGAAGTTTCTTAGACTGAGGTCTTCTTCTAGAACTGACCATTTCTATATAGACTGGGCATAACTGGTGTATTCAAAATGTTCATGATTTCAGCTGGTGGTGTGGAATCATAATACTCACTGCTGAATTGGGAGAGAGACAGAGATCAAATGGTTAAGTAAAATTATTTCTTTGTGGTAATAACTACTCGGTTTTACAACTTTGTCCTTATTTTGGCTATCCTATTCCATGAAGGATCTTACACGATGCAGTTACCCTACTATTTTTCATAGCCTAGAGAATGAAACTTCACTCATAGATCTGGCAGCTAATAGAAAGTATTGACCTATGTATGGGTGAAAAAAAAATAAGTCTGTCAAACTGTACAAAATCTTAGAAAGGGCATATATTTTCTCCAATCCAGGTGGAGGCGTTCTGGCTCACACAGTACTAGGAGTGGCATGGAATGAGGTTACAGGACACATTAAATTTCTGATTCTAGACCCACATTACACTGGTGCAGAAGATCTGCATGTTATCTTGGAAAAGGTGAGATTTTAACTTCATTTAGTTTCTACTTACAACATTAATAAATGGTTATATGGCATGACCAGCGTTGGAGCGATAGCATTGGAATTATTTTTTACTTGCATAATTTTAATTTCTCTTAAAAGTAATCTTTTTTACAAACATGTAGATTTATTTATATCTACTACACCCACACCCACACATGCATGTAAGCAAACTTCTTTCAGCCCCTTAGGGGTTGGGGTCAGTTTATATATAATTCAGCCCTACTGAGGTTGCTCAGTCCCTGGACTGAAGGACACTATCACTGCAAGGAAAATGCTGATCCCACCTGGTGGCCAGCCCAGAGGCCAGCTGAATATACCAGTACAGCATACCCTTACATCTGGCCTGTGGAACTTAATGACTGAAGAGGTGCAGTGTCTGGGAGAACATAGTTTTTTTGTTTTTTTTACAGTAAGAAGGAATGCTCTTTACTTCCCTCAGGACTGAATATCCCTGATGCCACCACCTTGTGTCTAGTACAGAGTCGTTTATATCTGGTTATATATATGTTAATATCAAAATTTTAGAGAGAGTTTCCATGAAATTAGGTAAATAGCTTTTGTCTATATCAGTACAAAAGATATCAGGATCCCTTTAAAGAAATACATGCAAATTTGGACTCAGTGTCTAGTCTTTATAGTTTGGAAGATAAACCACGCAATTCCATCTTCCTGAATCTGCAGACAGATGGCTCCAGTTCCTCTGCTGTTGCTCATAGTAAAGCCAAGTAGTAGCAGAGTGTAATTAATAAGGCTCATCAGGTTCTATTTATCCTGTAGGCAGATATGAAATTGAGGGCAGCGAATTGTATCAGTTTCATTCTGCCAGCTGCTCCAGGAAAGTCAGCAGCAGGAGGGGTAGAAATTTGAACTATTCAGAGAGGAGGGATATCTTATAATAAAAAGATGTGAGGCTCTAGGAATGGCATAGTTGCAGAATACCAGATCCCAATCTCAGAGCCTACTGCTGCCATGGTAAGAGAGAGCTCCTTCTTAACAGCCAGGCAGCTTCAGATTTATCACAGCTATTAAACTGGGGCTGATTTTTGAATGGTGGGAAAGCACTTTAGTATGAATTCCATCCAGCATGCTCTCCCTTCCCAGTAGCTTAGGTTGGATACTGTCCTTGAACTATTCTGGGAGCCCCCTTTACTTTTGCATCTGCCTTGGATTAGTATGGTAGGTTTCTGGTAATTTTTCAAGTCCTGAGACTGGTCTAGTCATATCAATAGAACTTCACATACTCTTAACTTGTTAATTTCTGAAGAAATTTACAAATGCACTCAACTTTAAGCACCTGAGCAGTCTCACTGCTTTGAATAAAACTATTAATGTGATAAATATAAGCACATGCATAAATGTTTGCAGAATTGGGGTCTAAATTAGGATGCTGTAAAGTTCCAAGAACACACCCTAAGTGTATGCACTATTTTATAAAAATTAGACTTCAGTTATTTTCAATTATAAAAATAGTGTGATGTGATTAAGAATAAAAATACTACAAAACATAAGGCAGAAGATAATGTTGCTATTAGACTTCAATTTTAACAGCATCATAATTTCTAGCTGTTTGTGTCAAAAAAATGGAGCCTGTTCTGTTTATGCATATACTGAATTATGAAAACTATAAAACCTGACAGGTATGACAGTACTCATGGACCAAATCTGCTAAGCACAACTGTTTTAGAAATGGCTTTATTTTGATTTTTCCTGTACAGGGTTGGTGTGGATGGAAGGGCCCAGACTTTTGGAGCAAGGATGCTTATTACAACCTCTGCCTACCTCAGCGACCAAAAACCATTTAAATTCCAATTGCAAAAAATCATGTTAATCCAGAATTTAAGACTTGATATAGACAGAGCTGGCTTATTTAAAATAAAATGCATAAGCTTTAGAAAACTTACTTATTTTCAATTTAAATGGTATTTTGTCAGTCAAAAGTAGTTGAAATAAAAATGCTAGTTGAATTCTTTACACAGCAATTTAAGTATAAAATGTCTTTTTAAATAAAAACATCATCAAAAATGGAAGAATAAATCAGATTCAACTGCATTCTTGTATAGACAAGTTTAATTAAAGGAGTTTCTCAATTGCCAAAATTAAGATAAAGGTAATCTAATATTTGTAATGTCTCTTGCTTTCTGAAGGCTCCTGAAGTGCTTTACAAATTTAGGGGCTGGTCCTTTAACATTTACTCATGTAAGCAGCTCTTGCTCATAAAAGCAAAGATGGCTCATTAGTAAGATGTGCAGAATTAAATGTGACTTTAAACTGACCTAAACTATCCTTAGAGCGCCAATAGACCCCTCTCTGTAGTGAAGTGTGGTAACTGTTTGACAGCAGCCAGTAATATCACACAACGACGTGATAGGCAGGGAATGCCACTTAACAAAATGTTAATCTCCTATAGCACTTTGGATGGAAGGAGCCAGAGAGAAACACTGTATGTGCTAAGTATCAACTTTGTTTTGCTATTTACCAGAGAAGAAACTGCCCTATTATACATAGTCTACAATTGAACACACACACACACACACACACACACACACCCCTCTGTGTGAATACCAAGTATTCTAGAAAAATGTCTTCTTCAAGAAGCAAAAGTAACCAAGATTTCCTCCTCCTCAGAAGGAAACAGCAGAACATCAAATATTGGGCTGCTTAGTTCATAGACCAATAATGTTGTTTTTTGCAGATTTCAGATTCTTCACAGGGTTACAGATTTTCCCACTTGCAGTCTAAGATGTGATATCTGTTCAAACAAAAGAGCTTACTTTACAAAATAGAAGTATACATCTGGATTTATCAAAACACTTGGCTATAGTATAGGATGGCTGTTTAATGCATCCCTCTCTCTTTCTACCTAAAACCTAGGTAGTTGTATTTAAATTTTTTAAAATGTTGTTTTGTGCATTTAATTGAATTTGAAATTTCCATCCAAGTAGAGATTAATTTTTTCCTTGTGATTTGTGTCAATCTAGTAAGAAGTTAAGATTTATGCTTGATTAAATGAATATGTATAAATATAGCACACTCTCCTGGTTTGCAAAAAGACTATATTTACTTGCAAATCAACATGTTTTAAGGGGTTACCAATAAGAATAAACCTTTAACTAAAAATAATTAAAAGCTATTATTTAATTCAAGCTTACCTTCATGTTGATTTTCTAATGATTAAAATCAGTGATTTAAATAGCTTTGATTTAAATCCATCCACCCTGACCCAATGCACAAAAGTAATTTGGCCTTTTATTGGAACACACATGTGTCGTGGCAGCATGTTCTTCTATGCAACATTAATATTCTGACTGAATAGCAGCCTTACCACATAGGTATATGTGGATGCATTGAAGGGCCGTGCCTCACCACCACTACTACATATCTACTGACAAATTCAGGTAATGTATTTAAATACTGAGTCTGAGATTTTGGTTTAAAAATATTCTGATATGTATTAAACCAGTCCTGGCTAAGCGTTTAATTTGTAAACTATCATAAACTACATACCATCTGATCTCCTCCTCTTTCTGTTTGTTGGTCCCATAATTCCATATGCTCGTTTCTGTCCAGCTAAAGCCTCTCTTGGCAAACCACAATTGTCCTTAAGTGAGCAGCTAGATTGTTCTCTTAGCTTCATATTTTGAGTATGTTTAACAGTTGTGAGGAACTTGGCACACTCCAGAAATCCAAAAGCCCATGCAAGATCTTCTGCTGTTTGTCCATCATTATTGCACAAACTGTAACACAAAAGTTAACACACAGCTAATTTCAAATCGTCACTATGTAAGATGAGGCAGTCATCGTAATTCTTCAGTAATACATCTTTATTTCAAGTGCAAAAATATTTGCAGCAGAGAAATAAGCTATCAAAAAATCAAGACTAAAGAAATTGTCCCAAGTATAAGATGTAAGAACAGTATAACCAATAGATGAAATGGAAAGCTCCTCCAACCAGGGAGCTATGACCAGTAAGCTCCTCTTAGCTGCTATGGTAAAGAAGTTTTTCTCTAAGCCAAAAGTGAAAGACAATGGTATAGTTGTACAGTACGTGGACTATCATGATAAATACTTGTAATGGCTGCACCATATTTTTACACTTATTAAAAATATGCACATTGCATTCCAACTACCACAATATAGTTTGAACAGGAAACAAAGTTTTGTATTAGCATACATTTCATGTTCATATATGTTAAGATTATAGCAGAATAAGTTACATGAATAACTTCTTGGAGGGCTAATATTTGAATTAGTTAAATGTAGTTTTTGACTTACTCTATTCTGGCATCACTGGCAACGAGTAGAGCAAGACACTCCAAGCTCCCAACTTTAGCTGCCTTATGAATAGGAGCTTCTCCATGGCAATCCTAAAAACATAAAATAGAATTTCACCCTTAGTATATCATAATCACTTAATAAGGTGGCAGGGAGAGATTAACCAGTTTGAGCACCATCACAACTCTATATGACACAATCTTGATGCAAGTCAGAAAGGTGGGTCAGAAAGTATATTTCCAGTTAAATACAAACAGCAGCTGCTATTAAGTATTTTTAGAATATTCTTTATTCATATAACAAGCTGCTGCCAGATTATGTGCAAAATCTGTTGCAAAACCTTTATCTCCTAGAACAGCCTTTCTACAAAATGTGTACTCAGAGCTAGTTGGGAATTTTTCAATATCAGAAAATGCCAATTCATCAAAACCAAAACTGTTCACAAAACAGGTTTGGATTTGACAAATTTCAAAGTTTAGAAACTAACAAAATATTTTTGTTTGACACTTTCAAAATGAAAATTCTTGTTTTTCCAATTCAACATGACTTTCCCTGTAGAAATTTAAGCTAATTAAACTAAAAAAAAAAAAAGTTTTAAATGGTCAAATCAAAGTGAAATGTTTTAAAGTTATCAAAACACTGACCTGATCTGAAAACAAATTTGGTCTGTGAAAACTTGAGATTGACTTTTCATTATGAGCTGAGAGAGGGGAAAAAAAATTGAACACTTGAAAATATTTGAGGGATGTGAAAACAGTTTCTGACCCACCTCCGCTACATATCCACACCCACTAATCAACACAATAGTGTCTCATCCACCTCTGCTACATATCCACATTCATTCACTAATCAATGCAGCAGGATCTGCCAGCAAAACACAGAGTTAGGAGGTAATGGCACCCATTCATAGAGAAGTGCAGAGATACAAGCAAATCACAAACATTATCTGCTATTGAGATAAGTGTGAGTCCATAACAGACCTTGATATATATTGGAAGAAGATAATGTGAACATTCCCAAGACCCTGACAGGATAAAGGGGATACTAAAGTTCTCTACCATGTGCAAAATCAGGAGACAAAGTTTCAGATTTGACAGGGGTCCTATATATCTACAAAACAATCTGAACACACACTAACCAGAATGAATTTTAAAGTACATTTTACATGAGGAAGAGTCTATTTTGAAAGTGTTTACAACTGATTATTGATTGAGGACTGGGGAAGAGATGTTTATTACATGAAAACAGGTGTCCTTTGTATGAAATTGTATAGATGAGATGCAACAAATAACCACAGGCAAACAGTCTGTATATCTCATCAAATCTGTGACAACTGAAGATTTACATAAACAATATACCTTTCATACAAATAACATGCTTCATTGGAATAAGGCAGTCCAAAAGAAACAAAAAGGCATTACTTGTACCTGTTGGTTGAGATTAGCGCCTGTTTGCAGTTGCCAGAGTAGAAAAAAAGCTTGTCCTCCACAAGCAGCCAAGTGCGCTGGGGACTGACCAAAGGCATCTGCGGGTGCATTCACCCCAGTCCCCGCCTCAAGCAGGAGGCTCAAGCCGTCAGACTACAGGGGGGGAAAACAAGTGTTTTAAAAATACATTTAGCTTCACGTTATTCTTAGACCTAAAAGATAAATTATACAGTAGCAGAAAAATCTGAAGGTATCCCCGACCTTCCCCTTCACAGAGAACCAAGAGATCATCTAATGTTTATGCCCCTTTATCATAGGCTTTTCAACTTGAAAGAACCAGGCTATTAGCTTTGTTGGAACGCAAACCACCAAATCGAGAGAGAAACTGGCAAAATCCTGCCGACATCAGTGGGATTTGGGTTTAGACAATAGTGGTAAAACTACATTTCAAACAACTCAACACCAGGACTTCTAACAATGCACGGAAAAACGCTACAAACTCCTCAGCCTCACCTCTGAGCTGCAATCCAGCATCATCCACATTGTCTCTTTTCGGCTGAGGACTACTTACTCCCTGTGTTCTGGGACGGCTGCTGCGGTGGGGCGAATGGAGGAGAAGTCCAGCACGCCCGTCCCCGATTCTGTCTAGTGCATGTAGCGCGTCAGACACCGTGCAAGCGCTAAAAAGGAACCTCCGTGCTGAACTCCCCTCCCACTCTGCTGGGAACCGGCTCCTGCACGTACACAAACAGGAGCACATGCAGTTCAACCCGCCTTCTTGTGCGGTGATTGGCTCCTTCTGATGCTTTCTCCAGCAGTCCTGGGCGGGCTCTCCTAGCATGTGTTTCAGTGTACAGCGCAAAGGAGGGCGGGGCAGCCCAGGGCTTGTGGCAGGTGGGGCGGCCATGGAGCATAGTGCAGCTAGGCACGTATCACACACATTCACACACGCAGACCCACACCCCTTCGCTTTCTGCTGCAGCCGCAGGAGAGGAAGGAAGAAAAACAATTCCTCTAGACTAATTATTGGTCTCTCTATGAAGCTATAGATAGCTAGACATATGCTTCTTCATGCACGTATGCGGGAGCGTGAAACAAAGCCTCCCCGTGAGAAGGATTCTTTCAAAACTCCTGCTGTCACACTCATCCAGAAGTGAATGGTTTAAGCAAGACCCACACTTCTCTTATCTGCTGTGGTTTATCCCAATTCACTTATTTTGAAAACGTGTGTGTGTGAGTTTAGAGCTTGCAAATGGAATAGGTGCATAACTAGCTACAGCTGTGCAAGCTGGCCCATGCTGACCTGCCAATGCATCTCAACTCCGATGTGGAGAGACCACCTCTCCAGATCTGAATTAGGGGAAAACTGATATGATCCATCATTTTCAACCAACAGAAGCCAGGCTATTAACAAGATCATCTTCTATCTCCCAATTCAAGGACTGCCTCTAGGAAGAAGCTAGTAGTTGTCTATGGGCCCAGTCTGTCATTGGACTCTGTTGATATTGCCAACAATTATGGCAAAGTTATTACCAACCTGAGCTGGGTTTGTACTGGTGACTTATGGAAAGGACTGTGTTCCAATCCTTAATTGCAAATTCATTTCTATTAAAAATAAATCTAGCAAAAATAGAACTTTTATTTTCAGATCCTCAGTTACTAAGCTGTTAGGTAAAAAGCAAGTCCTTACTCACCTCTCCAGCACCCGAGTTCGTGCGGAGTTGGTATGGGCTCACAATCTGTCAGAGACCAGACACCAATTCATTGATCAACGGGCTCACACTATCCTTAGCTTAAAAGGCTTCAGAGTAATGTGGCAAGTTTATTAGGGGTGAGCATCAATATTTATACACAGAAGTAAACAAAGTGATTAACAGATCATAATGGTCATGCATAATCAATCAAGATTCTACAGGATAAAACAGGTTAAAATGTAGATTCAAAAAGACAAAAGGGGAGATGGCTACTTAAGGGGAGGGGGGTGTCATGAGTAGTTCGCAGGTCAGAGCTTTGATTAAAAGTTCAGACAGAGACATCAAGTCTGGGTTAAGTTTAAGCTCATCAAAAGTTCAGACTCAACAAAGCCATTGAGGTTCAGATGTTGTCACAAGCCACACAGACAAAATCAAATTATATATAGACCTGTATCCATTGAAATAGAATAGCTACAACCTATTCAGAAATAGTTGCTATCAAGCACAATTGCTTGACAACCATTTTCAAACATGGAGGTAGTTAGCATTCTCTGAGCAATTCCAGTGTCTGTGGTGGACAGGGTTTTGTTGTTTTAAACCAATCATACTTCAAGAAACCATGGTATAGGCCTCCCCAGTCATAGGCCTATTTTAGCACAGTTTTGTAACGCAGACATGTCAAAATGTTTAGTATGGACAAAATACTTGTTAGGTTCATGTTTCAAAGTAACTTCCTGTCTTGTCTACACTATTAAATCAACTGTGGCAGGAGATTGAATTACATGTCAGTTTCCCTTCAGGGGACTGAACTAGAGGACCTCTCAAGTCCTTTCCAGTCCTATGATTCTAAGGTATTTAAAATAAAGTCTTACAGTACAGACTGAACTGAACTCTGTTTTAACCATGTCTCCAATTTGTAATATAGCCTGGAACTTTTCCTGCTTTAAAACTTTAAAATGAATTCTGTTTCCTTAGCAAGCTTTTTTTGACTCCATGACACATGCATTCTTGTTTGTTATGGAAGTTATTCCTGACTACTGGCATAATTAAAAAAATATATATCACTGTATCATTTGTTTTGGAAAAACAAAACTGAATGGACATGGTAAATAGATTTAGAAAGAAAAAGTGAAATTTGATCCCTACGAACCTTAACAATGTTCCTTTAAGAGAAGTTTAGTTTTACAAGACCAATGCATTTATTTTTAATATATCATCTCTCTCATCCTCCCTTTCCTACTTAGAAAATTAAAGCACATATTGAAATAAACAGAAGGTATGCAAAATAGGTGGAATATATATAACAAGCTGCAGAGCTCCAGATACACATGTAATATACCAAGTTAGTGCATGTACTTCAATGTGTGAGCATTTTTGCTTCTCTCATTTCAGACTGAAATAAACACATCTGTGCAATTACTATATTCAGTCTTTTATTCCCACACACAAAACCAAGCAAATTCCATCCAAAAAACACTTTGGATTTCAAATGCACAGGTACCTGAAAAATCAAAATTATGGTTTCCACAGCAATCATAACTACACTGCAGATGTATAATTCACTTCTGGATATAAGGCTAAATAGGGCCTGGATCACCCCACATTTTAAGGCCCCCAATACATCTGCATTGCTCTACAGGTTCTGGCTTCAAGCCAAACCTCACCCAAAATATCTCACCCTCCCAGACTGGCCACCTGCACAACAGATTGTCTCTTATCTTCCTCCTACCTACAAATTCTTGATCTTCCTGCCAAGCCCAGCCCACCCCAGTAGGCACCAGGTTTGCATCAGTCAGCTGTACTCCTCCCAGTCACTGATCGTAAAACATGGATACCAAGGTTCTATCTTAATCCACTCCTACATAAAGTCTAGCACTATATACAATAATACAAAATGCCTCCCAATTACAAGCCCAAGTTACAGTGGCTGTGGAAACTTACTTTTTAAAAATTCTTATGCATTGACAATTTCAACTATAATACTGTATTAACATATTTTGCATATGTATAAAGAAATGAGACTGAGCATAAAAAATAGCATAAGACATGTGCAGTTTTATATTATACCCACACACATACCTTCAGCTACCCAAGAAGTGTAGGAATCCAGTATAACTGACTTTCCTGAAGTGGGTCGTTGCTTTTGCAGAATGTTCTTTATATTCCATTTATCAAATGAAATAATTTAAAAAATGTCTTTAATGTGATATATTAAAAAACTCCTCTTTAACAAAATCTTAAATTTTCAAAGTATGTTTAGACATATTGGACCATATTCTTCCTTGGAGTAACTCTAACAAAATTAATGGAGGTGAATTTTTACGAGTCTGTTGGAGCCTAAAATCGGTTGGAGCTACTGAAGAAAACAAAAATTTAGCCCTCAGCTTTAGCCAGATATATCTGAAAGCTTTCCTCTTATATTTCTACTGGTAGCTGCTTCCTCCATTGCTATGGAAACAGATTGCACTGCCAAAAATGGAATGAGGAGCTTTCAAACATCACTTGAAAAAAGAGGACAAAATGGGAGTTTTGAAACTGTGATTATTTTAAAAGCACCTGTAACACTGTCTGGAATGGTTCACGACTGTGAATCCCAACCACAGGACAGACTGTCAAAAGCAGGGCAGACACCCCAAACTGGGTGAATATTCTATAATTAGATTTCACCAGTAACAAAAGGGAACTCCTAGATCACTATAGCAGTCTTACCATTGAGTCACTTATACCAAAAATCACAAAATATTCAGGTTGCTCTCATGCCCCAGAGGCCAGTCACTTACCCCAGATTAATTTGTACCTTAGATCTCACATCAAAGACAATGCTGATAGCCAATCCTATAATAAACTAAATAAGGATTTATTAACTAGGAAAAAGAAATGAGAGAGTTATGTACAGTTTAAAGCAGGCAACATATATGCACAAATGAGTTCAGTCTATGGTTCCAAAAGGTAACAGAGATATAATAATCTGTCAGAACTGAATCTCTTTTAGGGCTAATCCCAGGTTGACCCTGGGGATCTCTGCTTTTGTTTCTAGTGTCGGCCCTTGTCAGAGTTCAAACAGCAAAGAGATGAAAAATCTTCTCGTTCACTATTTTTATTTGCTTCTTCCAGCATTTAAACCAATGGGATGAGGCCTTCTTACTCCATGGGTGGATGAGCAATTAACAAAGCTTTTGTCCTACAATGGCCCACTTAATTTTGATAGCCCTCCTGGATGGGTGGGGGCGGAGCCACTCTTTCCATCTTAAGGGCTTGTCTACACTGGCACTTTACAGCACTGCAACTTTCTTGCTCAGGGGTGTGAAAAAACACCCCACTGAGCGCTGCAAGTTTCAGCGCTGTAAAGTGCCAGTGTAGACAGTGCTCCCAGCACTGGTAGCTACGCCACTCGTGAAGGTGGGTTTTTTAGAGAGAGCCCAGCGCTGTACCACGACTACATGAGCCACATTAAAGCGCTGCCATTACAAAGTTCGCCCCTGGGCTTCAGATGTAATTTTCCCCCAATCATACTTTCAAAGCTTGCAGTTTTTAATCACTGGAAAAATATATTATAAAAAAAAAAACCAGAGGGAAAACATCTTAAAACAATTTTCCCACCATTTTTATCTCTGCCTTTTCATAGGAGTAATGACCCAATGACTTGGCTAGAATATTTAAATACACTGCAAATAAGTATTTACATATGCAGTTACACTGGTTACCAGTATCGTTGGAATCTCTGTCAGACAATTTAATACCTCCTTTTATAATGCTCGTTTTATAAATAGTATCTACATACAGTAAGGACTATAAATCAACAAAGAGATTCAGGTGACATCATAAACAAAGAGCAAACCTTGACTCATTTGTCAGTGTTACCAAAACCTCAAGATACAATGGAGCTTTAGTTCCACAAAGTGAATGGATTTATTTAGAAACAGAACATCAAGCTACCAAGAGACCTTCTCAATGATCCAATACATTGGGCTGCTTACCTCTGAG